CGAAGAAAATAACATTTTTAGTCCACTAGTCCTTATAAGGATAACTTATGGCAAAACCTTAAAAATGGCAACTTTCTACAAGTCCTTACGATACCTTATCTATTGGGCAGTTTGGCCAGGACTATGGGACTAGTGCCAGTTTCTACCGCTGATGCACCTGATGCAAGTTAAATCAAGTTCCTTAAAGCCAGCCCTGATACACCAAGTACCGTATTCGACCTAATAAGCGCCCCGCTCTAATGCGCCCACGGCGATATTTACTAATATATTGGCTAATGAACAATCTCAGTTAGCATCCCTTCCAATTGATTAATGTACACAAGACTTATTTATTTGTGTATAATACGCACTCGTATGTCATATGCATCCTTAATTATGGGCAATTAAATCCTGGAAAAATATATCTGTCGTATATAAACATTTCAGGCTGTCAGCATAAACCACAAAATTTACGATCTTTATACTCAAAATAATATCCTAATAAGAGCTCCCTACTTCTAATTTTGAGAGCGCCCTGGGCGCTTATTACGTCGAATACGGTATGTTCCGTTCAGGCATGCATACACTACACGACCACAGATGAACTCCTTTTTCAATAATCCCCAAACAGAGATCTGGGGTAACCTGACATAGAAACACATGCGTTAAAAACATAATCATGAACTTCTGAGAGTTTGTCAACATTCAAAGTAGATAAATTAATGATTATCAATCAACGGATGATGTTGATTATCGATCACAAATTTAGAGGTCACTCCCCAGGACTACCAGACACAGGACGTGTACTATTCACTACAAACATCAACGCTGCACCCACCAATGAGTGGGGAGCTAATCTATCCTCCGATATCAGTCCAACACTTGGCACTGTTTTCATACACCAAAGCCAGTGTTCCTGATCAGATATTTTGAGCTCACGCAGACCTGCACATAACATAGGCCAATATTCAGCATCAAGTCTGCAGCCAATTTCAGTACAAATTCCCAAATTGGCTAAAAAAAATCCTACTTCATGTTATATTAATAAGCAATGATAACTAATGCGAAGGACCAATAAAGAGTGAATGAGTGAGTTTGGTTTTACGCCGCTTTTAGCAATATTCCAGCAATATCATGGCGGGGGACACCACAAATGGGCTTCACACATTGTACCCATGTCGGGAATCGAACCCGGGTCTTCGGCATGACGAGCGAACGCTTTAACCACTTGGCTACCCGACCGCCCCACCAATAAAGAGGATCTAAGAGGCTTTAGTGCTTAGTTTTATAATAATGTGATGTGAAATTACCTCCTCCAAATTTAAAAAATAAGAATTTTCAAATCAAAATTGTAAAAAATGATGATTCTGCACCCCCCACCCTAAATTGCCTGCTTGCAGCACATAGTTTTGAATACTAGATACATTCCTGGCTCACGCATATAAAATATAAAAATTTGAGGTTTTCATGTTACAAATTCAGTCCCTCTCTGGAAGGTTCACAATGGCAATAGGATTTATGACCCAAACTTATTTCTATGGCTTCTGGGGCGGTCGGGTAGCCTATTGGTTAAAGCGTTCGCTCGTCACGCCGAAGACCCGGGTTCGATTCCCGACATGGGTACAATGTGTGAAGCTCATTTCTGGTGACCCCCGCCGTGATATTGCTGCAATATTGCTAAAAGTGGCGTAAAACCATACTCACTCACTCTATGGCTTCTGATCTTTTTGCCTACATAATGAACTATTCCAGTACACTCTATTTGATTTAGGTTTTTCCCCACATCAAAGAATAGAAGTTTCCAATATAGTTGTGTAAACAGACTCCACCACAAGCATGCACCAGCTGACAAGCCCATGTGCGCATCTTTCCCCCACACTCACACAGTCATCCATGCTTCTCTCACTGCACCTGTTTCTGTACTATCTATGTGCCATGCCATGCCATGCTGTTTTACCCTTCTCGTCTCCAATAATCTGATTGATCTATTAATATCACAGATCAATTTGCTGTGTTTTGTCCAATTTCATCATCCTTTGAATAGTCAGTTCACAATAATTAGTAAGCCAAAAATTACTTAATAAAATATCAAAATAGATTTCATGAACTGAAACTTTATAAATGGTATTCCTTGAATGAAAATGATGGATGCACACCGATCCTGTTACTCAGTACATGTATGATTACATATAGATTTAATAGACGGTTGAACATTTAGAATAGAGATTTCATACAAAACATATGGTTTGGAATTTATTGTAATTGAGTGTCAATGGCATAGTCATAATAAGTTCACTGTGCTTGAAGGGCAAGCTTAAAAATGATATTTATTTAAACAAAATGCATTGTGCATTGTTCATAATGAATGGTGGAAATCACTTTTGAATACATGAGAAATGATGAACATCTTGAATGAATAGTATGATTCACAAAATAGATCTGGAGGATGAAAGGGTTTTATCAATCCCAACACAAAGGAAGCGGACAGAATCTACAATGCTCATTATCTAGCTGATGGTGAAATGAGATTTCACGAACAGCGGAGATGGATCAAAGATGGTCTTGTTGACACACTTAAAACTCCAGGGTACACCCAAACATTCTTAGAATCAATACATTGAAAGATTTATTTTGAGACTGATATTAATTCGTCCCCAAGTCTGCAGCAAATATAATGATGGCATGATAAGGGAACAGTGAAACATAGAGGGAAGTAAGCTTTACTGTCAGTACATTGGAAATGGTGCACATACAAATTCAACACCTTTCAGAATCAAATGTTGAGATATGTTTGTGTACATTGTTTGTGACATGTATTTTGTAGTCAAGGCCGGGAACCAATGACAGCATATCATTTTACTGTGTCTAAAACTTACTGTTCCCTTATTCATTTCCATCAGTGTATCATTACAAATTCCAAAATTAGACTTCAGACCAGTGATAGAAACTAACTGTTTTAATCCACTAGTCCTTATAATGATAACATATAGCAAAACCCTTAATAATAGCAAATTTCTACTAGTCCTTATGATACCACAACTATTGGGCAGTTTGGCAAGGACTACAGGATCAGTGCCAATTTCTAACACTTAAGAATTTGCCAATGTTAGTATTGTTATAACTTATGTTATTGCTCTGTAGATCTATGTATTTCACTGACAACAGGACCAACATAGATATGGTTCTAAAGCTTTGTTTTACAGTTTTACATTACTGCATTAATTGCAACGTTAAAATACAATGTTAAAAACCCTCTGAAATTAAGAAAATATGAATATTTTCCCAATTTGACTCCCAAAAGGACATGGTTTAGAATCCTACATAAATCCTGATCACTGAATCAGTATTAGGTAACCAAACCCTCGTCGATTATTATCGCAACATCATAAAGTGATGTCAGAATATCATCAAAAGCATTTTTCTTTGGCTTTATATTGTTATTTTCAAGACATACACAAACAAGGCTCATTGATTTGGTCACGATATTGCTATGGAAATATTTCACACAGGCCGCATCACCACTTGTGTTTGGTCATGTTCAAGAAGAAATCCATTTCTTATTGATTACTCTTCAACCAGCATATTCATGTCTTATCAGAAGTGTTGAAATAAGAAGCTTTGTGTCCTTCTTACATGGACCAACTGTAGCACATCCCTCAAAATAATCCTTGGTTGAGCCAAATCTAAGAACAGTTTGTCATTGGATAATTCCTTCCAAGAATATCCTTGACATTTACAACGGTTGTCCAGGAAAGTGATTATGAGGGTGAAAAATGAATAAAAGAGCAGAAAATATTACATGTATGATGACATCTGCTACTGTATTTCATCCCATGCCTAATGGAAGAATGCCAGTTTATACCAATTAAAGCCATCAACAAAATACCTTACTTGTCATTGTAAATATGATGTATCATGTATGTTCATACTGAGTTTGCATAGGTCATGCGTTGTTACAAATTTCTAATTTATGCCTTGTATAACAAAACCTGCAAAGAATCATGGACATACTGAAAATGGTACATAAACAAACATATACATCTTTTTAAAAAAAAATAAAAACATGTTTTATTAATAAAACAAATCATACTAGTTGGAATATTTATTTCTGACTTTTCATGAGCATATTTCATTTTCAATTAACATGTCCATCAAAGAACAACTAATCCCATGCTTAGCATGTTTAGATGAACCAGAGATATTAAACAAATCTAATCAAACGTATGATGCGCATGACCTCATTATAGTAATTACTCTAAAACCACAGATAGTTCAAACAAATTTCTTTCTCAAAAGAATACATTACACACATTTACATAATTATGATGATTAGCAGCAACATAATCATGCTGTGCTCCAGCTCGTTAACCACCGTGTTTATATGGTCCCTCGTTAACGAGCAATGGGAGTATATCTCATAATCGATAAAGGATGTCCCCTGTGTGTTCATGATCATCACCGACATATGGACAAAGCTCAGTATTACAAGATAGAAACAATGTGCATGACATTCATAAATATTGAAAAACTAATTTACCCCAGCTACACACTCAATATTTACTAAAATACCATCAAATATTTCAGCCTTGTAAAAAGGGATTAATTGACAATTTGACACAAATAATTTGTTATTGTTTGCATCTAAAAAAAAGTGGGCGTGTCATTTTTCCAAATGTTACATTTTTGGGGGAGCTTTTAATGACAAAAACGATAAATCATGATAAATAAGTGTTTTTTTTTGTGTTTTACGATCTGTTTGTTTCTGATCTTTCATCTGGCATTTGCAGACGCACAGATGTTAGCCGTGAATATCAGGTTACCAAACACATGCATGTCAATTATTGGGGTTTAGTTGAACCGTGCTTGCAAGGCTAGAGGTAAAGGCTAGGTCAGGGGTTCTTCTGACGCTGTGAGCAACAGTGTCAGCTCTCCTCTTGTTGTCATTCGTGCAACCAATAAATCGATGATCATGAATGAAACATGACTGAAATATCAATAAGGACGATTATCGCTGCCCCTACCTGTTTGGCCTTTTCCGAGGGTCTTTTCCAGTCGATATGGTCCCACATAAAGTTCATCCTTGTGTGAATGCGACATCGTATAATCCAAACGTGCTACCTTCTATCAGAGACTCATCTGTATTGGTTCTGCATATATTTTCCTCTACAGCCGACTTGCTGCCAGTGCATTTAGCATGAGAATCAATACACAAGGACCGGCCATCAAATGATGAGGATGTGGTTCCACTGTCGGTAGTCAAAGACTGCTTACTCCAAGAAACCGCGCTCTTGTCACCTGGTTGGGGCTCTCTATTGCAACTGCTTCATTAATCCGTGGATTTCCGAGCAAATAACAAAGAATACGCCAATTGTTCCAGTGACAGCAGACCTTACCGATGCCAAATGTTCCCGCAAATGAATCATCAGAGTGCTTGCATGCGCCCTCTCGTGTCAGAACCGGTCACTAGGAAAGCTAAGGGAAGTCACTCTAATCTGTTTCTACCGATCAATGTTTGTAAAATGGCTCCGTAAAATGTTTTGAAAGAAGAGTGATGACGCCAAATAGTTTGACGGTAGACCTTTTATGCACATCGTTGCTCGGATGTCTGATTGAGCGTACATGATTTGGTATATCCTTTTAATGCAACTTTTCAACCACATCACGACGACTATGTTTCGATTATGTTTCTAGGTTTCACCGAAGTGGTAAACGTCTGAGACCTGCATCACTTCGGGCTTTCCTCCCACATTAGGAATATAACTGGAATACTGTTAAAGGCGGCGTTAATTCCAACTCACTCACTATAAATGTACACATTTATGCCATTAATTATTTGATGAATAGTTCGTATAATTTGCAGGGATTGAATTTAATTTTTGTTTCCGCTTCCTGCCGGGTTGCCTTCTGATGGAAACAAGGAAAAGTCACTGGTCCTTCTTGAATTTTACTTGTCTCAAGACTAGCAGATTAGTGTATATTTTGGTCTCTTATTAGGGAGTATTCATATATCATAGGAGGAGTAATGAGTGGGAGTATGTTTTCAATCCATAAAAAATGTTTTTTAAAAGGATGACCATAGAATTTAAATACTTTTTTGGCAAATGCTTGTCCATATTTGGACTGAACCAGTAAAAGTTTGTATAACCTGGAAGTTAATTTAGTTTTGTGTTTGTAAAATTGAGTGAGATACTATAATAATACTTGACACTAGCTTACCTTCAAGACTGTAGGTAACATGAAACGTATCTTATACCATGACAATGGGGTGGTTGGGGGGCCTAATGGTTAAGATGTCTGCTCGTCACAATGAAGACGCGGGTTTGATTCCCCACATGGGGGGAACTGGACAATTCTTACCCACGGAGATCCGCACCTTGTATAATTTCGGGGACTTATGCACAAATGTTGGATAATCCAAACCCACCCGTAACTAATCAACTGGATGACTCATACCTAAACAAAGAGTATTTGTGCACACTGGAAAGGTATATCATTTTAAACATTATTCGCTGCTTTTGTTATCTGTAGCAATGACAAATTCACAGTAATAACTAACGAGAAATTATATTTTATTATAACAGATTTAGACGCACCATACTTAATTCCGAGCAATTTTGCATGAGTTTTATTTTTAATAGGTAGGATTGAAACTTCCTGAATATCTGGTCTCATATTTGAAAAGAAATATATCTCATTTCAAATTTCAGATAAACTGGATGTCAACACTATTGCTGTTTTAAATGTTCCATGTGGGAAAGATATGAATATGAATTGATATAGGAATATAATATGAGTCGATACAGTTAAATATGTATCGCATGTTGTAGTTGTATTGTCTGAGAATATCATTGATGCACTGATGTATTGGTGAATCGTGACATCCTTCAAACCGACTTCTGAAAGAGTGCATAAAATGCTTGAGCAAGTTAGGTTTAGCACCACTTTCAACAATATTCCAGATATATATGAGTGTGTCAGCTTATTGTTGGAGGATAGCCGGAAGTGACGCAGGTCTTAGACATTTATCACTTTGGTGAAATCCTTGAGTAAAGGTAGGGTGCTCACAAACCTTGAAACATCAAGGCGAACCAGCAAAATGTTTTTATGTATGAATTTGATGTGAATAAATGATTATGAATATATATTTCTTGTCATATTTACGGTACATACTGGTCAATACAATCTGGTTTCAGACATCTTGCTTTAATACCGACTTGTTACAAATGCAACAAATATGAAAATATATGGGTACATGTCCTTAAAATTTGTATACAGGTCATCTACATTTGTGTACGAGTCTGCCAAATAAAGTATGAATTTACTTGGGTACAGGGTTTGAAGCCCATTTATACTGGTTTCCCCTGTCGTAATATTGCTGGAATACAGTAGACAAGGCCTCTTAGTTGGTGTGAGTTAGGTTTTATACTGCCTTTACAATTTTATGGCGAAAGGACACCAAAAATGGGCTTCACACATTTCACCCAGGTGGGGAATCAAACCCGGGTCTCTCGGCATGACGATCAAACGCTTTAACCAGTAGGCTACCCAATCGCACCCAATGCCTTTTAGAACGTGGTTAAATGCAACATATGTGATATTGGGGATTACACTTTTCTAGAAATTGTTTGGGTAGTCCCTTCCTGGATTTGAACCGACACTCTGAGTAAGGCACCCAACTGCCAGGACACAGTCAGCAACCAAACCCACTCCGCCACCAAGGCTTCTACAAAAATGGAAGTGACAACTGGTTATCGAGATCACATGCCAAATTTCACTTCTTGAACCAACTTAGCAGCAGGTTTTGGTGGTATCTCAGACATCAGTGGGCATTATGGGTAAAAGTAAGCTCCCCAGCAACCTTCGCTTGTGCAGAGTCCTGTCCTGACTAAATAGATTGGTGACTTGGTTAACTGCATGCCATAATTTCCAAATTGTGTGATCGATGCTCATGATGTCAGTCATTGGATTGTCTGGTATTTTTAGATCTCGGTCACATTGCTGGTATATTGCCGAGAGCAGTAGGGAAGAACAAACAGGTATCTTTGACCTTAATCGAATGAGGTGAGGTGATATGGTGTTTAACGTCGCGTCCAAGATTATTGCACTTATATAGCAACGTGTATGCATGTGTGTGTGTGTGGCTGCTTGTACTAGTCCGGACTGATGCCGATTTATAGTGCTAGCACACTGAGATACCATGCCGCAGTTTAACCCCACTCAGACACAGTATACTGATTCCGAGCCAACCAGTCCTTGTTTTAGCCCCTTAATGCCGAGCGCCAGACAGGGTAACAACAAGTACCATCTTTTAGCGTCTTTTGGTATGACGCGACCGGGGATCGAACCCCGGATCGATCCCCAGACCTTCCACTCTCCGGGCGGATGCTCTACCACTAGACCACGGAGGAGGTCTCTTAATTGAATCAGATCAATGTGATATGTAAATATTTCCAAGAGATCCATGGATGTTAGGGATATATGAAAATATAGAAAGGATGGTGCTCTACGTTTTTCCAGCTATATATTCAATGTTAATTTATACAATGTATAATTCAAGTTATTAAACTGTTACTTCCCTCTCCTTATGCCTACTGCTCATTCTACATACATTATATGAACAAAGTTAATGTTTGATGCTAGAATGATAAGGTGTATTACCCACTTTTTAATGGATTAATCCAATTGATTACCAGCATATGATAGGAAATAACTTTATCTGAATAGATTTAAGTGAACTATCTTAATGGTCTGACAGTGCAGAGGCGAATGTGTTGTAGGCAGTAAAATTATCTGAGAGAGGATTTTGATATTTCGGACCCTTCCCTTTTAAAAATGCTGGATCTGCCCTTGTGGTATGACTGAAATCTTTGTTGAATACATGACCCAAAATCTGACCCAAAATTATTGGCGATTCTGACAGGTCCCCTACATCATGAATGCTGTGGCGTTGATGTGTGCCCTTCTTGCCGCCTGCGTGGTCTAGTGGTAGAGCGTCCGCCCGGAGAGCGGAGGGTCCAGGGTTCGATCCCCGGCCGCGTCATACCAAAAGACGTTAAAAGATGGTACTTGTTGTTACCCTGTCTGGCGCTCGGCATTAAGGGGCTAAAACAAGGACTGGTCGGCTCGGAGTCAGTATACTGTATCTGAGTGGGGTATTCATGTTAAACTGCGGCATGGTATCTCAGTTGGCTAGCACTATAAATCGGCATCAGTCTGGACTAGTACAAGCAGCCACACACACACACGTGCATGCACGTCACTCTATAAGTGCAATAATCTTGGACGCGACGTTAAACCCAATTTCACCTCACCCCACCTCACCTTCTTGCTGATTCAGACTTGACCTTTAGTACATCAGCCCCCCACCCCCCACCCCACACACACACAGCAGTTGAAGTACCTCAATCCATTAAAGTACACAGACTAATAGAATCAAGGCATGTGGAGGCATCATGTGCCCTGCATTGGGAAATGATTAAACCCCTAATCATTACAGCTTATGCAAAGGGTGGTGCCTTTCACCTTCCAATGGACATAGAATACTTGTTAACAAGTAGGGCTGTCAGTCGTGGTTGTGGCCTGTCAGAGAACAGGTGAGTGGGCTATTACAGCTGCTTTTAGCAATGTTGCAGCCTTGTCAGATCGGGGGGACCAATCTCATTAAAATCAGATCTTAGTTCTCACTATCGCTAAACAAAGATCTGAGGACATCCCATTACAGGTCACATCAGAACGACCTTTCATCCAACCAATCAGAGCGTTGCTTACCATATAATGAAAGTGACAGACGGAATGTGTTTTCTGATCATGCAACCTCGAAATATTTAATAGAGGGTATTCCGAACGACAGTTACAGGTTTTATGATTATATCCATACAATCTAGGCCATCTGTAAGCCATTGCAGAATGTTCTTTTTATCAGTTTTAATTTTTTTAACCGAGAATACGTCAAAATATGTTTCGAAGCGTAGTTGCCAGTTTGAAACTAATGTCGTAAAGCTCGAGAAAGCTGCCTTCTGATTGGCTAATGTAGATTTCTTGTCAGTCATTTCATTGATTGGTGAAAGTTCGCGAGAAGTCGTTCTGACGTGACCCGTAATGGGTCGAAAACTAACATCTGATTTTAATGAGATTGTAACCACAGGCTACCCCACCAGCCCAAATAATAACTACACAGAAACAAAACACAAACTCTCTTTACACAATTTGGGTTTTATTGATACTTTGTATGGTTTTATGAATGCTCAATTCACTGGATAGCTAGATTTATGTACAGCTATGACAATCACGATCACATCATATATATAACTGGATGAAAGGTAATACAAAACACAGCTTCAACTATTGCTTGTGAAGGGCATCAAGTGCGTACAGTTCACACGGTGCAATACAGAACTATGCTAGAAGATGATGATGATGATGATGGTGGTGATGGTGATGGTGATGATGATCAATGCATATTAACATGTACTGTCCTGCCACTGAATCCAGCCATCAGATTTCATTATATTGGAACTAAATACTTGGTCTTAATGTTCTGTCGATGCTGCACGATATTCAAGCTATATGATCGCAGCCTGTAAATAATTGAGTCAGGACCAGACAATCCAGTGATCAATATTATGAGAGCATCCTACACCATCAGGGGAAGGTGACACGCAATCACCTGAGTCCCCAAGTCTGACCGCCCGATCCATCCAGTTGCCCCTTGCAACTAGCATAGGCTGCTGGGGTGTAAAATGCTGCTTTTCACAGCATTTTTGTAACATCACAGCATGCCAGCTTGATGCCTAAAGTGATGCAGGTCCCAGACGTTTACCACTTCAGTGAAACCCACGTGTACGGGTATGGTGCGGACAATCTGGAAACATAATCAGGGCGAACCGGGATTCAAACCCATGACCATAGGTTCCAGGTGAGCCCAAGGGATGTAACTCTGCACTGCACAGCACCTTGCAGCGCTTTAGATGATTTGGCCACAAAGATCCCCGGATTTATTGGTGGAAATAAATAAACATGGAAGAGAAAACTTACTTCTTGTCAATATGACAGTGGGAATATATAAACCTACCGACAAGGAATTAAAGATTATCAGTCTCATGATAAACAATTTTGAAAGTCCCAAGATGTGGTGAGAGACTTACAACATTAATTGATGAAAGACTGATAATCTATAATTCCAAGATTATATATTACAATAGCTCCATTTTCTAAGAAAAAGTTAAAAGTGGTTTGTTTCCTGATTACAAGAAGTATCATCACATGAATCTCTTGTTAGAACGATGTGGCATAAAACTCTCTGCGGCATGAGTGAGTGAGTGAGTTTGGTTTACGCCGCTTTTAGCAATATTCCAGCAACATCACGGCTGGGGTCACCAGAAATGGGCTTCACACATTGTACCCATGTCGGGAATCGAACCCGGGTCTTCGGCGTGACGAGCGAACGCTTAAGCCACTAGACTACCCGACCGCCCCTCTGCGGCATGAACAATGGACAACGTTACCTTCTATTATTACTTGCCCGTGAAGAGATCACCCGTTTAATAAACATACAGCTTTATTTCACATTGTGTAATACCAAAACGCGTGCTTATGTACTCTCGGAACATGTTTCACGAACAAATATTGAAAGCTCTCAACATCCCTTGGCGTATTCAACGACATTGTGTGTGGAGATGATAGATCACTGGGAGGAGCTTATGCACACTCGATGACCCCAGCAACCTTGTTGCTAGGCTGACGTCACATGGCATTGTTTCGACGATGGATCTTGCAACAAAATTCCACAAATTACGTCATCGGGTATTGTGACGTGATTGTAAACTTTGAGGTGCAAGGCCCTGTTCCACAAGGCGATCGTACTCTAGCGCAACGACAGTCGTTAGTCTAAGTTAAATTATGTGAGTTGTGATAGCCTTAGCACTACGATAATTTTGTGGGACGAACGCCTGAATTCTAAAGGTGGACCATTGTATGATATTAAATTCATACGTTTCAACTTTTGACGTGTTTGAAGTATTATTCTGTTAAACTCAATTGGATTAATCCATGGATCGTGTAGGTGTCAGCCTATTTACACTCAACAGTATAATTTTAAAAACATTATAAATGACAAGTAATAAATAAAATACTAAACTCGCTCTCGTGTAAAACCAATTTTATGAAACTCGTGAATAGTTGTGGTATCTGACTCGCTTTCGCTCGTCAGATACCAGAACTATTCACTCGTTTCATAAAATTGGTATTACACGGGAGCTCGTTTAGTATTCTATATTTATTTGTGTCTTTGCAAACTCTTCGCAAGTCTCTAAATGGTGGTACAAAAATGAACATAATTCTCACTGAGAAGCCCTGGTGTACACAAATTCACAAGACCAACACTTCACACCAAAAAGCAAACCTGTGTGGCCCTGACAATGAATTATTATATTTATTGTTGATGTGTATGAGTGAAAAAAATAATATGAACATGATAAATAAATGTTGAAAAAATGATAATATAAATGATTTGATCATCATACAAGTCATAAATATTTAATTGAAATTCATACACTGATTGCTTCCAGTGACAAAGTACAACAAAGAAGTCCTGTGAACTCATCAACATCTTAAAAGTGTGTCAAACCATGTTCAGTAAAGCCATATTTTCCCTACTGATAGGTTAGAACTTTCAGAGTACATTGATTACATCATGAAAACAGCTTAAACGTCCAAAAAGCAAATTTCATACACATCTAAAACACACTAAAAACCTTCATCATATGAGCTTAAACTCTGAAATTTACCCAAAAAAACTTTCCAGCAGTTGATAATACTTATATCAAATAGTTAAAAACTATGATAATATTTATTCCAAAATCTTCCATTCTGTACAAAATGTAAACTCTTTGAAAGTATATATTATCCCATACTCTAACAGAGAAAAGGCTGTCCCTGCTCGCGAACATGTTATGTGGTAGCATAGTGTTCTCACAAATAATACAAACACACAAATCTAAGTTTGAGATCTAACCTTTCAGATCTTTAAGCACTTGCACATCAGCAACAGTTATGGGTCATTAAATACTGACTGAATAACCAATGGCTGAACAGGAACATTTACACAATGACTGTTTATCAGCAGTTATACTGAACAATGCTTAAGCGGGTTGAAAAAAATGAGAAAAAGAAATGTCAGCCCTCAATCCAGTAAGTGTAATTCATGGTCACTTCTTTACATGAATTTCGAAAGAATTAAGAAAAACTAACCACAGAAAATATTAGCATGTACAGCGTTTTAAGAAACAAGATATTTTGCAGGTGTTATTGTACAAGTTGTCACACATCCCTGATACTAGTAAGTCAAGCTCGTGTAGAGACTCATGGCCACCTACAGGTGCTTGATAACAAACTTGAGGTACTGGCAGACACTGCGGGGACAAACAGCTTCAATGGCATCTACAGCAGTAAGCGACATTTCTTATGAACAATATTTTACACAATTTTAGCCAGAGTATCAAAGAATGAAATTCTGCCTCTATAGTTCAAAAAAAGTTTAATGTAGTTGATCTAGAATCCCAACAGACTATCATCCCATTCACTGTGCTTTATAAGCAATATTCACTAGGTCTGCAGGAATGGATAAATAGCCTTGTTTCATTAGTAACTGTTAACACGTTGTTTCCATAAAGTGACAGGACTTGAAAGTGTCAGTTTCCAGTATTTGAATGCATTAGGCCACAATAAATTATCAGATTTTCATCCAGATATGTTAGTTTTGATGTGATTTTTTAAAACAAATTGTTCAATACATTATTAACTTTCAAAGGATGTGATTCACATGAAGCATGAGTGTTTGGTTGGGCTATGGGGTATTCAAGTTACGAAGTCGGTTGGGTTTAACACCGCTTGAACAGTATTCCATCTGTATCACAGAGTCAAGCCCAAAGTGATGCTGGTCTTAGATGTTTACCCCTTGGGTGAAACCCCTGAGCACAGGTATGGTGCTCACGAACCAAAAATCATAATCAGGGCGAACCGGGATTCGAACCCATGATCATAGGTTCATCGAGTAACGAAACCAGGGAACACAGATCGTGGGTTTCTTCATCTCTAGGTGCTAGGGATAATAGTGAGTGAGTGAGTATGGCTTTACGCTGCTTTTAGCAATATTCCAGCAATATCACGGCGGGGGATTGTACCCATGTCGGGAATCGAACCCGGGTCTTCGGCGTGACTAGCAAACCCTTTAACCACTAGGCTACCCGACCGCCCCGCTAGGGATAATAAAACGATGGGAGTGTGTTTGGTGGTCATTCAGTTGGATATAAATTGAATAATTAGTTTATTATGGCCAGATTAATGACTTACAAAGTAACTTGGAGGACAGCTGACAATGCACAAGGTTATGATAACAGTGTCTAAATCGATCATTGCGGTGTTATGCATGCATGTACACAAATAGTCAAACTAAAATAATATTGTGAAAGTTGCAGTGCCCATGGAACTGCATTTCTTCAACGAAAACTGAACAGTGTGTTCTGCACATCAGATAAACCATCGTAACGAAACAGGAACATCGTTTAAAACAACAGTAACATTTCATGTCAAATGCTTATACAACACTTCAGGACGGCAAACATGGTCAATTCACAAACTATGTGAAAAATAATTAACATTTACAATTTGCTTCACCCACTGTGTGCCATGGCACAAGCCTTCCACATTCTGAGTTCTGTCATCTGTGAATCAAAATGTAGGTCGGTTACAAAAGGAAGCCTGACATTTTACACTCGCGACACATAAACATGTTCCAACATCATAACTAAATACATTCAACATTTAATGGTGACATGGTTTCAATTATCTAAGATATTTTCTCAGTCCAACTTATGAATCCTTGAAATTGCATTTTTATATGATCTGATGTTGAATTGAATCCTTTTTGGATCCAATCACAGAGCTGCTTTTTCATCCCGAATAACATCTCACATTTTTCATCATACCCTCTATCTGATCATTTTTATACATTAAATGTAAAATGGTGTCTTTTCCTGAAGAAATGCAATCAATACAGGTAAGTTACAGATCCATACTAGGATTAATTGCATGACATGAAGCTGAGAGAAATCTGCTTTACTGCTTTACTGCTTTTATCATATCATCATCACTTTGTATTTCAGTAGCATCACCGTGTGTAGGCTTGCGGCGAAAGCAACGCCCTAAGTGATGCATTTCTTAGACGTTTACCACTTTGTTGAGACACAGGTATAGTGCCGAAAATCTAAACACATAATCAGCATGAATCTGGGATTCAAACCCACAATCATAGGTTCCTGGCAAGCCTAAGGGAGGTAACTCTGCACAGCAAGTGTCAGCGCCTTAGACTACTGTACCACACCAGCCCCCTGTTGATGTCTCACTGTTTGAACATTTTGCGGGTCAATCCAGAACTGTTTAAGTGTTCGCAATAAGAAGAGACAGGTTATGACTGCAGTAATGTATCAAAATACATAATCTTTGGATGAACTCAGACTATTTACACAAAACTAACCACAACAGTTACAGGAGACTTCATTTGAATAAACACATCTATTCCAAACAGCGTCTTCATACCTGACATGATGTATGAACATGAGTCCCATCAAGAACTTTGGTAAATATAAACATAATAAAACCTGATGGATGCTAATGAACATAAAATGGTTCTTGTAGTCACACACTACAAGTCTATCACAAAGTCTTTCTCATTCAGTTCCTCAGATGTACTAAAACGGAATTATGTACAATCAATTTCTCATGCCGCAGTTGATGAACGCACCCCGAAGATGCTGTCGATTATGACAAGGATGTGAGCCCCAACTGCTGTCTGTTGTCCAATGAAATGATTCCAGATGTGCATGCTGCCCAATCAGGTGTGATCGTTACCGAAGATGCAGAGTTTCTTTATCTGTGACTAAAGATGGAGGTTAGCCCTTCAGCTGCTGCCGTCAGATGATGAACCGTCTGATGTCTGAAAGTTCCATACATAATTTGTATAAGTTGATAGAGAAATATAGACATAGTATTGTAATAGTATTTAAACTGTAAGGCTTGATAATTATATTAACCAATGTGTAAGAAATGAATCAAGAATTGCCAACAATGTCAAAGTCAGCCATTTTCCTTTGTTGCTACTCAAACAAAATGGAAGTAACTCTAATCTGAACTAATCCTTGCTAATCAAGGCACAGCAGATTTGAAATTTGACTGTAATATCTGAGTTTTCTGGCGCTTATTCATTATAACTTGAAACTATTGATTTCTAGGCAAACTATCGAAAATACCCTGGCGTTTTTAAATTCCTATCAATAAAGTACAATTGTAGGGCAAGCAACTGCAATACACTGACAGTTTGATATATAGTTACACTCTTACCGCATACTGATATTATATACAATTATTTGTGACGGGTACGAGGACATGGTCCAGTATCAATGCATTCAGCATTGTTTGTTGTTCAGCATTGCACTCCGCAATATTCCAGCTATATGATGGTGGCTTATAAATAATCAATTTTGGACCAAAGTAAGCTTCAGAATATTGTGAGCAATGATTCACGTCACTGAGGTACAATGACATACAATCAACCAAGTCACCAAGCCTGACCATCTGATACATTCAGTCAACTCTTACGACCAGCATAGGTTGCTAGGGACTAATTGTGACCCAGACTTCCTATAGGGTTGCCTCCTATGACCAGCACAGGTTGCTATGGAGTTATTCTAACCTAGAATCCCTATAGGGTTGCCTCCTATGACCAGCACAGGTTGCTAGGGAGATATTCTAACCCAGAATCCCTATAGGGTCGCCTCTTACGACCAGCACAGGTTGTTAGGGACTTATTCTAACCCAGAATCCCTATAGGGTTGCCTCTTACGACCAGCACAGGTTGCTAGGGACTTACTCTAACCCAGAATCCCTACAGTTCCATAACTAGAGAGAAACCAGGCCTCAAAATTAACAACAGTAAGAATACACAGGACCAAGTCAAGTTGAATGACTGGTCAATATATTAATAAAAAAAATGTTTAAATCATGAAATCTGGTCAAAAGAAAGATGACTACACACTTGTCCTGAATCCAGAAAACATTTTAACTCTACATGTTGGCGATGAATCTTATGAGTATGTTTGGTGGTGAATCCACGTCTGAACTGCCATAAAAAATAATCACACTACATCATTTCGCAATATGACCTTTGCAACAACTGCATGTCTGTAACTCGTAACTTCCAATACAATAGATCAAGTGAGTGAGTTGGGTTTAACGATGAACAGTATTCCTGTTATATCACGGCCTGTCAGCATAATGTTGGAGGAATGCCCCAAGTGATGCATGTCTCAGACATTTACCACTTTGGTGAAAACCATTAGCACGGGAATGGTGCTGACAAACCAAGAAACATAATCGGGCCAAATGGCAATCTATTAAGGGTGTCAAAATGTGCCTTTCTCATAGATACATATCCCAATACTTGAGTCATATTAATACCATATTATTTGTTGTTGGTTGTTGAACGCCGAACTCCAACTACAAAAATTGAGGGTTCAGGTGTCTCCCAATAATTAATCTTAAGCATTTTTACAAGAAAAATAAGGGTCCTGTAAAGGCATGGAGTGAGTGAGTGAGTTGGGTTTAACGCCGCTTTTAACAGTATTCCAGTTATATCACGGCGTGTCAGCTTAATGTGCGAGGAAAGCCCGAAGTGATGCAGGTCTCAGACGTTTACCACTTCGGTGAAACCCACGAGCACGGGTATGGTGCTGACAAACCTAGAAACATAATCGGGGCGAACCGGGATTCGAACCCACAATCACAGGTTTCTGGCGTGTCCAAGGACGCAACTCTGCACTGCGATTTGCGCCGCCTTAGACGACTGGGCCTTCCGTGCCCCCTTGTAAAGGCATGGAATGGTGTAGTTACTGTACTGACAACAAGATTTGACAATAACTTTTATTACAGGACCTTTATATTTCTTGTCAAGAATTTGGTACAATTAATATTATTGTTTGTCCCTTGGGATGTAATTTTTCTTGTCTGCATCCATTCTATACTTGTGCGAGGAATTAACACCCACTTCTGCATTGCGTAAAATCCTGGGACTCTATATTCAAGCTTTAGGACAGTGGTCTGTAAATAATACAGCCTGGACTAGTGATTGACATCATGAGCATCGATCTACGAAATTGGGATACGATGACGTGCATCAACCAAGTCAGTGAGCCTGACCACCCGATCCTTGCTGAAGACCAATTCTGTAACCCGAATCTTCATCTATGCTACTCATCATCATATAACATCTGTCACGATTACTCATGTTCCATGTGGTCCGGCCAACAAGATGGGTTCTATCAACCAGTTTGTGTTAACGGTCATGATTGGTTTAATTAGGCTTGTTTCAATAGCATTATGCAGTCAGATTTCGCAGTATGTCTTGTGATAGACGGGAAGGTGATGCTAACTTGACCAATTATCAGGACGTGTTATTGGAATACTTTGCAAAAATGACATTTTTGAAAATCAAAACAGAAATAAAATATGAATCGATAGATGGGGAAGTTTATCGAGTCATCGGATAATTTAGCGATTCATCGATGCATCTGTGAATTGTAACACCTCTACAATATAATACTCATAAGAAGTTAAAGAACACCCTATTTTTTCATTCGACTACAATAAGTCTAGTTATACGAAAATATCGGGTGTTCTTTAACTTCTTTAGAGTAGTATTTAAACATAATTATCAACATGATCCAGATTCAATCAGTGTGTCATTTTTACCTTTGATTTTGATGACAATCTAAAGGTCCCGATATCTTTTAATTTGCTGAGAGATGCAGCAAATCCTATTGGCAGATTAGGTCTATTTGGTGAGCCTTTGCTTGGCGACGATGTTGGACTGGTTTTGGAATCGGAGGAATTCACATTGGAGGCAAACTCACTGAATACATTTCTATCAACACCCTGTTTAGGAGGTGAAGACGTTGGAGACCTTTTGGGAGAAGAATTTTCAGGCGAACTCTTACCCGAACTGCTCTTTGTATGTGAAAGTTTGGTTGGGCTGTGCTTTTGTAAAACTGGGAGTTCACTCGGGGGACTGAACACAGGAGACTTGCATGACTTTTTAACTGGATCACTGGATGGTGATTTAAAATCACCCGAATCGTCTTTTTGTTGCTCACTAAGCACAGGTAATTCCTTTGAGTCTGATTCTGAACACGTCTTGCTGTCCGACTCCGTCCCATTCACGGACCTGCTTTGTTCCGCATGGTATGAAATAGGTTGGAGGGCTCCTGAAGGACATCCCTTGACAGGGGATGTTTCAGGGGAATCAGATCTTTCTTTGTAGTCAATAGGGGAAATTCTTTCCAGCACTGGGGGATCACAACAGTCCAGTTCTGGAGGGTTTTCAGTGTTTGGTTCCTCCTCCACCATTTCTGATTTGTCTCTTGATTTAGAATCACTAACTGTTGGGCCTGTGTTCACAATATCACAATTTCCAGTTTCGTCAGCACTAACACCGTCATCAATAATCTGCACACTAATTTCCTGATCCTTACTCTCAGCATCTTCATCACAGTCAGTATCCATTGGAATAATTTCATCACTAGTCTTTGCATCTTGAGCATCTTGTTTCACTGTTTGTGACATTGTGGTTGTCATGGTATCAGTCACCATGTCACAGGACCGTACATCCTTCACATCATCCGTTTCCATGGAATTTAATGGTTCCTCAGAAACACTGACATCTACCGCAGGCACATTGTCAGCGGAAGATTCAGTTCTTGTCTCAACATAATCTCCCCCAGCAACTACCAATACTACCTCCTCAACAACCTCAACCCCCTCCACAACTTCCTCTGATCCCTCTCCATCCAACTGTAAGTGCTCACTCTGGAATTCTTCAGCTTGGCCACACACAGCATCACCATTCTCAACACACTCTTCCTCAACCTCCATGGCTGCTATTTGAACTCGTTCACTGACATTTTCTGCAACTGATGTTTCCCATTCAGGTTCAATTGTTCTGACAACATCAGACTCTGGAACAGCAGCTTTGGTCACCTTATCCTCAACAACATCTGGTGTTACGATGTCAGCAACTGCCTCTCTTGCACTCTCAACTTCAACTTCTGTTGTGGTAGCTTCAACTTCACCCACAGATGCTGTTTTTGTATCAACTGCATTAACATTAGCCTCATCTTCGGTGGCTTCAGTCTCAACTTTGTCTTTCCTTGTGATAGGTGTAACACTAGACTGATCTGTTCCACCTTCTAGTCCCTGAGTTTCAGGAACTTCTGTTTGAAGAATTTCAGCGACTTCTGTCTGAACAGCTTCACCAGCAACTGGAGTCTCCACTTCAGTTTTACCAGTGGTCGCTTCAGGGGTCCTGAGTTGATGAGTATCAGTAAGATTTAAATCATCTGTTTCACCTCCAGTTACAACCATATCAGTTTCTGCTACTTCATTTCGGTTTTCACTTTCTCCTTCATCTACATCCATTTCAACATCAGCCTGACTCAGTTCAATTTCAGCAACATCAGCCTCTTCCATTTTAGCTTCATCCTTATCACCTTGTTCCATTTCAACTTCCGCCAGCTCAGCCTGATAAACTGCAACTTTATCCATCTCCATCTTATCAACTGGAACTTCAGTTACCTCAACCACTCCCGTTTCAACTTCAGCTTCAACAGTGGTTTCAGTTCCAGCATCCCCTTCCCGATTCTTTTCATCGCTCTTCTCAGTTTCAGACTCTGTAACTTGCTGTTCACCTTCAGGCACTTCTGGTTCCTTGGATGATCTGATGCTGGTTGCTAGCACTTCTACATTCTGTGAAGAATCAGTCCCAGTATAATCCTCAACCTTGGCTTCAGTAGACACTACACCTCCTTTAGTTTCAACTGTTTTGCAGAAGTCCTCTACACCTTCGCCTTCCTTGAGTGAAGCTGTCTTGGTATGAGAGTCAGATGACTTGCTATCTCTTGATGAAAATGTCTTGGCATGTGAGTCGGAGGCATTGTCACTCTTTGATGAAGTCGTCCTGGCATCCGAGTCAGATAACTTGCTTTCTCTTGATGAAGTCGTCCTTGCATGTGAGTCAGAGGACTTCCTATCTCTTGATGAAGTTGACTTCGCATCAGAGTCAGATGACTTGCTATCTCTTGAAGAGGTTGTCTTGCTATGTGAGTGAGAGGACTTCCTTTCTCTTGATGAAGACGTCCTCCCATGTGAGTGAGAGGACCTATCTCTTGATGAACTTGACTTGTGATGTGAGTGAGAGGATTTCCTATCACTTGATGAAGATGACCTGGCATGTGAGTCCGAGGACTTCCTATCTCTTGATGAAGATGACCTGGCATGTGAGTCCGAGGACTTCCTATCACTGGATGAAGATGACCTTCCATGTGAGTCCGAGGACTTCCTATCTCTTGATGAAGATGACCTGGCATGTGAGTCTGAGGACTTCCTATCACTGGATGAAGATGACCTGCCATGTGAGTCTGAGGACTTCCTATCTCTTGATGAAGATGACCTGCCATGTGAGTCTGAGGACCTCCTATCACTGGATGAAGATGACCTGCCATGTGAGTCTGAGGACCTCCTATCACTGGATGAAGACGACCTGGCATGCAAGTCTGTGGACCTCCTATCACTGGATGAAGACGACCTGGCATATGAGTCTGAGGACCTCCTATCACTGGATGAAGATGTTCTGGCATGTGAATCTGAGGCCTTGTCACTCTTTGACAAAGTTGTCTTGGCATATGAGTCCGAGCTCTGGTCATGAAGTTGCCTTGATGAAGTAATCTTGACCTGTGAGTCAACAGAGGTAGGTGAACTTGTTCTTCCTTCCTTTTGATCCATCTTTCCTACTTCAATTGCATCCGGCTCATCTCTTTCAGAGTTCTGTTTATCTGACAGACTGCCCTCAGTTGATTCTGGCTTGTCCTTTGCTGCATTTTGTTCATCAGCTGTATCCTTGGGCAAACTGACTTCATCTGTTTGAACTTCTGAAGTTTTCTGACAAATTTCAACTTTGGAATCTAATTTTACATAAACTTCAACTTCAGCATGTTTGTGTTCTGATTCAACTCGTACTTCTATTTCAGCAACTTCCTGTTCCATAAGTTCCTCTTCAGCCAGATGAACCTCATCAACTTTTACCTCATTGTTCTTCTTGCTTTCAGCTACAGCCATATCTGGCCTATAAGCATCCTGATTCACTTGCACCTCTGCATCTTTGGGATCTGAATTAACTTCATCTCCAACTTCAGCACCGTGCTGCTGTGATTCAACCTCAAGGTCAACTTCAGCACTGCGCTGCTGTGATTCAACCTCAAGGTCAACTTCAGCACCTTGCTGCTCTGGCTCCACCTCAAGTTTAAATTCAGCACCTTGCTGCTGTGGCTCAACCTCATTTTCAACTTCAGCATCTTGCTGCTCTGGCTCCACCACAAGTTCAACTTCAGCACCTAGCTGCTGTGATTTAACCTCAAGGTCAACTTCAGCACCTTGCTGCTGTGGCTCCACCTCAAGTTTAACTTCAGCACCTTGCTGCTGTCGCTCAACCTCATTTTCAACTTCAGCATCTTGCTGCTGTGGCTCCACCTCAAGTTCAACTTCAGCATCTTGCTGCTGTGGCTCAACCTCATTTTCAACTTCAGCATCTTGCTGCTGTGGCTCCACCTCAAGTTCAACTTCAGCATCTTGCTGCTGTGGCTCTACCTCATTTTGAACTTCAGCATCTTGCTGCTGTGGCTCTACCTCAAGTTCAACTTCAGCATCTTGCTGCTCTGGCTCTACCTCAAGTTCAACTTCAGCATCTTGCTGCTGTGGCTCTACCTCAAGTTCAACTTCAGCATCTTGCTGCTGTGGCTCTACCTCAAGTTCAACTTCAGCATCTTGCTGCTGTGGCTCTACCTCATTTTCAACTTCAGCATCTTGCTGCTGTGGCTCTACCTCAAGTTCAACTTCAGCACCTTGCTGCTCTGGCTCAACCTCAAGTTCAACTTCAGCATCTTGCTGCTGTGGCTCTACCTCAAGTTCAACTTCAGCATCTCGCTGCTCTGGCTCTACCTCAAGTTCAACTTCAGCATCTCGCTGCTGTGGCTCTACCTCAAGTTCAACTTCAGCACCTTGCTGCTCTGGCTCAACCTCAGCTTCTTCCAGACCAATTTCACATTCCTGCTGCTCAGTTTTAGGAGTATCAAGACCCACCTCCTCAGCCTGGCATGCTTTAATAAGCCCTTCTGTTTGAGAAGGTTCTTCCTTCATCTGGTCCTCTTCACCTTCTCCCTCCACATCATCAACCAATGTCTCTTCCTTTTCCACTAGAACCTCCTCAGCCTGTACAACACTACCATCAACTTCAGCAACTTCACCAATTGTCTGGGTGCTACTGCTTGCAGTTTCCTCTAACTGGATAACTTCATCCTCTTCAGACTCCATCTCTTCTTCCTTTTCTTTTTCCTTTTCTTCTTCTTTTACTTCATCTTTTACTTCATGTTTTTCTTCTTGTTCTTTTTCATGTTCTTCATCTACATTTTCTACATCTTCGTTCTCGAAATTCTCGTTGTCAAGAGCTGCCTCTTCCACACCTTCTTCTGGATGATCAGGTTCCTCCCCTGCAGTTGTCTCCTTGCCGGAGACGTCATCAACAGCAGGCGTCTCTATGTGTGCCTCGGTCCCTATGTCCATCATCTCTACATCACCACCAACTACCTCCTCAAAGTCTTCCACGTTGGCTTCCGACACTAAGTCCAACACCGGCTCTTGTATATCACATTCAGCGCTGTCCACCTGGTCTGGATCCCTGTCCTTGTTCCTATGATAGACCTTTGTAAATTTGACTTTCTTTTCAGCATCAATATCCTCCTTCATTTGTACAGCATAACACATGACAGAAGATGAAGGTCTGCCTCGCCTCCTTGTCTCTTTAAGTTCTGGCATTTCTGTAACGATGTCATCCCGTACTGGAGTCGACACCCTACCTCGTCGAGTCGTTCTCACAGCGTGGGGAGATCGCTTGGTTCGTCTTACAACCTTAGCACACGTTGAATCATCAACTGTCTCTTTATCCTTTGGAAAAAGTTTCTTTTTCTTTTCCCTGGTGTATGTATACAAGCGGGTACTAGGCTTAGCGGCAATGGTCTTTACTTTCACATCAGTGTCACTTGAAAGGGTTTCATTTTCGGGATCAGAGAAGATATCGGGAGGAGCATCTTCAGAATGATCACAAACAGTGCTGACACTCTGTTCAATCTTTGTGAGTTTTGGGGGTGAAGGTTCCCGATTCTCTGCAGGACCTTCTTCGACAAAAAAGTCAGACTCGTAACTTCGCTTTCTTTCTGGTTCTCGTTTACTGTACGTCTTGACAACAGGTGTTGCTTCCAAAGCACTTTTAGACACAATCATTCCATTGATGACAGTTTTCTCAGATCCTATTTCTTCATCTTTCTTAACCACAGTTTCCTCGATCTTGTTAGGCATCCTTGGTACCCGTCTATGAATGCCATCTTTGTACAAGCAGGGAGATCGAGCTGGGCTGGAACTCTTAGCTTCAAGTGGCAAGGGAACATATGGAGATTCTGTTGTGAGGTTCTGTGACCAAGACACAGACTTCCTTTTCTTTTTGGGAACAGGACATTCAGAATCATCCTTTTCCTCCTTAACTGCATCTTCCTCCTCATCCACCTTTTTGTAAAACACTGTTTTCTTCGGTGTTTTCATGATTGTCTTTGGTGTTTCAACTGCTGTGTGGGGAGGTTCTGATATCTGAGTCTCTGGACCACTATCTGGAGTTTCATCAAGCTTCACTTCCATTTCCTCATCCTTCTCAGGAGATTCTGCAACAGTGTCTGCAGGGCTGGTCTTCAGGACTGTGATCTTATCAGAAGAATGTTCCAGGACCTTGACATCTTTGGTCGGCACCACACCCTGAGCTGGTGATGCCTTCTGCTCTTCCTTACAATGATCAATGTAGGACTTAGCATTAGGTGAGCTGGAGGCAGTCCTGATCCCCCCAGTGCTGAGGTGGATGACTGTCCCGGCCTTGTTCTTATCCCCAGAGGGAACAACGATCACCTTGGCCTTCTGAGACTGCAAACGTTTAAAATCATCCAAGGAAATGTGCACAACTTTGGGTGAAATGTTTGTTTGGGGTGACTTCCCCTGACTGTATTTATTGTGGCTGGTATGTTTAGCTGTCTTCTGTATCAACTCAGTGTACACACGCGACACGTCATGTCTCCTCACAACGGATATCGAGTCTGTCACTGGTTCCGCTTTAGGCTCCGAAAGTTTATTTTTGGCCTTCTGTGCTTCTCTCTCCTGGATCCGTTTATGCATAGGGAGAGCCGCAAGTTCAGGATCTTCGGAAGGAACAGCTGCAGGCTTCTGCTGTTGCCCATTGTAGCGGGAAGTAATGTTCACAGTCTTAGCCAGAAGCTGCATCTTATTGCGGTTGTTCTGGATGATGATGCCCTTCACTGGATCCTCAATGGATGTTGGACGTTCAGGTGATTTGGGTATGTTGATAGTGTTGGTCTGAACCATCAGTGACCGTTGTGGGGTGTTGCCCTTTCGAAGGAACTCTTCAGCTGCCTCTTTCCGCTTGGCTGCTTGGAGAGCTTGGAGGAAACGGGCCTGTCCCTCGGCAGTTCGCATGTCGCCTCCACGAGCCTTCAGCGCAGGGTATACGATTGTGTAGTTGGACTTTGAACTGTTACTTTCAACTTCTTCATCCTGCAATGAGATATGTACAAATTTCAGCTGCTTGAAAAAAATTTTTTTTGCAGAGTTAATCACACAGAGGAATTTTAGAGTGAGCTGTTGGTTTAACGCTGCTTTCAACAGTATTCCAATTATGTCATGGCATGTCAGGTTAATGTGGGATGAAAACATAGCATCAATACAGAGTCGACTGGATTTCAACTTTATTCTTTTGAAGAGTAATCTCAGTACAGGTGCAGGTACTTTATCATTTGTTCATTATTTTACACAGCACTTGCAATAATCCAGCTATATGAGGGCAGCCTAGCAATCCGGAAAATGAAGGATGAACAGTCACAACTGATCTACTGAAGTGAACGCCTTCCAATTATAATTGTCCTACTAGCACAGCGAATCCACTAAATCCTCCCCAATTCTTCTAGAATCTGCCGCCAGGGTTGTGCCACTCACCTGGTCCACCATCATGGCGTGAATGTTTTCCATGGTGTGACTGGCAGCCTGTCTGCGGGGACGGTACTTGGCGTTGGGGGAGATGTCAACATCGGGCACAAAGTCATCATCGACCTCGTAGCGATGGACTGTTTTGGGCAGCAACTTCTTTACTCGGATGTTAACAATCTTCTGCAGAGCACGGGCCATGTATGTGAAATCTGCAAAAGAGGAGGTCAGTTCATTTAACATAACAACTCCCTACCTGAGTGCATGAAAAAGATGATGGATTCTGATACCGTTTGTTTGTTGTTTAACGCCTTACTCGGCAATATTCCAGCTATATGACGGCGGTCTGTAAATAATCCAGTCTGGACCAGACAATCCAATGGTTGATATCATGAGCATCGATCCACGCAGTTGGGATACGATGGCATGCATCAACCAAGTCAGAGAGCCTGATGTATGAGTGAGTGAGTGAGTGAGTATGGTTTTACGCTGCTTTTAGCAATATTCCAGCAATATCACGGCGGGGGACACCAGAAATGGCCTCACACATTGTACCCAAGTCGGGAATTGAACCCGGGTCTTCGGCGTGACGAGCTAACGCTTTAACCACTAGGCTACCCGACCGCCCCCCTGATGTACAAGGAAAGCCCAAATACTGGAGGTCAGAAACGTTTACTACTTTTGAAATACCTACGAGCATGGGTATGGTACTGACAAACCAATAACATAATCAAGGCAAATCTGTGATTCGAAACCATGATCATGGGTTTCTGGCATGCCTAAGGGACGCAACTCTGCACAGTGAATTACAACGCCTCAAATGACTGGGCCACAGGTGTCCCTGAACAAAATAGAACTGCAAGACTAAAACAGGAGGCCATTATGCAACATTTGCTGCAGAAAGCTTTGTATGACTTACCACTGTTTTCCCCATTGTACTTCTCACAGTTCTCAAACAGCAGCTGGAAGTCGTCAGCGAACTCACGCACTGACTTGTAGTCTCTGTCATCTAACTTCCTCTCGATCATCGTCAAGTCCATCGGGGTCTAGGTGGAATAACGATGAAATCATGTAAGATGTAAGTGTCAGAGAATATTAGAACTAATATCAGTTATTCTCACTGAACAATCAGCATTATATTTTGCTTCATGATGATTGGCTTGTCTGTTTTTATTATTTATTGCGTTAAGGTACATTGTTGCATAAAGGCACATAGCAACATGATGTCATATGTCGTACTGTCACAAATACTTGACGACTTTAGGTCAACAGGAGCCGAGTCAACTTATTACACCCAGATCAAACATAGCAAGGGGACATAACTCTTGATGTCTTATCACACAACCAAATAATGATTCGCTGTTCCATGTGCCTCTAAATACGAGGATCTTCCAGAAGGATTAAGGAGAATGACCATACATGATACAAGAAAACCTTACCTCGATAACATGGAAGTAATCTGGAGCAAACTCCTCCTTCACTGGCTCCCAGAACGGCCAGGAGTCGTCGTGAGCCTTCACAGTGTACAGGACTGGAATAGTCACAAGTCACGTTAGTTGTATGGAGAATACTACAGTCAAGTCTTGTTAATCCGACATCGTTGGTTGCATATGATTGTGTCGGATTAACGAGTATGTCGGATTAACGAAATTAAGTGATTTGCGATCGAAAATCGGACATCTTCACGATAGATAATAACCGTGTGTTTCCTCGTGTAAATGCAAGTGCTACTGTCTTAACAACTTGCTTCATCTACTTAAAATAGTCTGTCAGTGTTTTCTGTTTCTCACATATTGAAGGCACATTTCTCAAAGTCCCCTGTTCGCTTGACGTCTAGGGCTGGTGGTTCTTCAGCATCAACATTGTCGAGGTGTAATTTCATTTGTTTCTTATAATAAAGCTTGAAATTCTTTATGATCCCGGCATCTAGTGTTAATTGTTAAAGTTAATCTCTGCAGCCGGTGCGTGTCAAAACACGGGGTTGTGTACTCGCGGGCAGATGACCACGGAGTACGCTGACCACTGTGTCGGATTAACGAGACTGATTAATGAGTGATTTCAGTAATTCGTTGCAAATTAGGTGTGTCGGAGTCGGAGTGCGAGAATGTCGGATTAACGGGACTAAATAGCGCTGAATCAATCGGTTCCCATCATTTGTGTCGGATAAAGCCGAGTGTCGGATTAACGAGAGTCGGATTAACGAGACTTGACTGTATACTCATTCGAAGGAATTACCATTTTTACAAAAACAAGTGGACTTTCTGCTGCATCTGACCACATGAAAGTGAATATTCTATATATTACCCATATTAAATATGTATGTACTTGCAAAGGAATAGCCTTATTCTTTTTTATAGTATTCCTTCACCTGATGAAGGAGTAAGTATATATCAATACAAATACCGTCACTCACTTTTTCTCATTCCACTGTAAAGTTCTTCCTTCTCGGAGTCGATCCTGCAAAAACAAATGTCCCTGCTATGTAAGAAGATATTCCACACACTCTACTTAGAGTCTCAGGTAAATGTTATTGAAAGTCATGGACAAAAAGATTACCAATAGACAGCGAGGGGTTAAGATCACCAATAATCTACAAGACTAATGAAAATCTGTGAGGGCTACTTATAGAAAACCTGGTATGTCAAATAGAGGTGAGGTGAAATTGGGTTTAACGTCGCATCCAAGATTATTGCACTAATATTGCGACGTGCATGCACTTGTGTGTTTGTGTGTGTGGGTGGTTGCTTGTACTTGTCCGGACTGATGCCGATTTATAGTGCTAGCCCACTGAGATACCATGCCGCAGTTTAACATGAATGTCCCAATCAGACACAGTATACTGACTACGAGCCGACCAGTCCTTGTTTTAGCCCCTTTATGCCGAGCGCCAGACAGGGTAACAATAAGTACCATCTTTTAACATCTTTTGGTATGACGCGGCCGGGGATCGAACCCCGGACCTTCCACTCTCCAGGTGGAGGCTCTACCACTGGACCATGGAGGCGGTCTTGTCAAATAGAAAGAAAAGTCCTGAAATTAATTTGGACTTGTGGGATTTCCAAAATGGTGTCCACCCAAGTGCAACAGTTTGCCTATTTGCCACACCCCTTCATGGATTCTAATAAATGAAAATCTTTGGCAAAAAATGCATTTGTCCATCTGACTGAAGCTTTCACCAACAAAATCAGTTTTAAGATGTACACAAGGTGTTGTCAGCTCACTTTTCCAAATCGTCGTCATCATCCCGGTGTCCGTTGGTGGAGTCCAGGTTCTGCAGCTCAGGGGGAAGCTCCAGCCCTTCTGCCAGGAGACGATCCCGCTCCGCAAACAGGCGAGTCTTCTCCTCCCGCAACGCAGCACGCTTTGCTCTTCCTGGCAACACAGACAACACAACTTATTACAACTGTAGATGACAGACAAAATATCTAATGATCATAACAAACATTTCAGAAATTACTTCAATCATGTGATCTCAATCTTTAAATTGTCACATACATGTCAATTTTCAAGATTTCAAGAATTATTCACAAAATGAAAAGCCTGTACATTATCGAGTCTCAAGAAGGTATGTCAACAGCCAAAGGCATGAGCAATCATCAACATCATCGGGACATGAAACTCAATCAGGCACCATCCTGATCCATTTTGGTCGACTCTTGCGACAAGCACATGTAATAAGACCCAATTCGAAACAGAATCTACAAGTGGGCTCACAAAAAGAAAGCAACCTCTTGGATATAACACACTGTCACCACCATCATCTTCATCATCAGCTCTAAAGGCAATTATTGCAAGCTGAAATGTTCCTCTCTTAGGCAGTGTTTTTCTCCCTTACTTTCTACAGCCCTCTCTCGCTCTTCTCTCATCCTCTCCCTCTGCTTCTCTCGCTCCTCCCGCTGCCGCTTCTGGATCTCCAGCTTCTCCTGCTCCAGCATCTTCCTCCGCTCCTCCTCCTCCGCGTGCCGCACCTTCTCCTCCGCAGCCAGCATCTGGGCCAGCAGCTTCTCCTGCAACACAGTCATGCATCAGCATCATATTGATACAATCGCGATACCTGAATCATGTTTCGATATTTATCATCCCAAATTGTCATCCACTGGAGTTATCAACTGGGTGACATCAAGTGATATCTCCTGGGAGATTACTACTGTTTACAAAGAGAAAAGGTAGGAAGAAAGATGTTGGATCATAAATACAATCTCATCCGAATGTCTTCTCATATGAAATATATCAACACCTTTAAACTTTTATGCCACATTTTGATATACTTGATATCAAAAGACACTTTGGTGAGATTCTCTCTCTCAAGATATTTTTTTCATGAAATCCTCCTGTTTGGATCATCATCATCATCATCATCATCATCATCATCATCAGGGTTTCTGTCAGAGCTGCAATTCCAGGGTTTCTGTTAACCCCTGTCCTGTAGGGAACAGTACAAGACCCACCCCCTGTCTAAACACACATAAGTAAGTCCCATGTCACGTCAGTAACTCCATAGCTCACCTCCTCCTCCCTCTGTTTCTGCTTCTCTTCCAGTCGACATGATGTCCGTCTCGGGGCATTCTCGAGGGCCCGTCGTTTCATGTCACGCTCCTGCAACAGAAAAGAACTCATAGTTAATCTTTCAAAACATGTTAAAACATAATCTGTTGAATTTGGTCTTGATAAAGCTCCATTCATTAAACCCTTATTCCTAAAGAGAGTGAAGTTTCTGCTGTAGCATTTTCTCAGAAAGTAGCTTCACAGCTGTCAGACCAGTGGTCAATAGTGTGAGCACCCTTCATGTGATAAGGGTCTGACGACACAAGAAAATCCAGTCACAGCTGAGACTTTGTGCTTCCCGATGCTCTGGTAATCATATATACTGAACCAAAAAAGTTAGGGATCATGAATATTTTGGGGGATATTTTTATGAAATTGTGTCATGACTACATAAAACATCCACAAACTATTCACGATCCCTAACTATTTTTGATCAGTATAGATCCATCCTGATACAATCAGCCTACATAGCTTGCTTATCAAATAAGCATGGATCAGGGATCAAGTCAGCAAAATAACACGGGAGTCAATCTTTCCCCATTACATTCAACCCTAAGTGAGTGAGTGAGTGAGTGAGTGAGTATGGTTTTACGCCACTTTTAGCAATATTCCAGCAGGAGACACCAGAAATGGGCTTCACACATTGTACCCATGTTGGGAATTGAACCCGGGTCTTCGGCGTGACGAGCGAACGCTTTAACGTGAGTGAACTGAATTATGCTCCTATTAACAATATTATTAACAAGCCTAACCTTGATAGAGATCATCTGTGGAAGAATCAAGCGTGTGAAGCAATGACCAAGGCAGAGGGCAAATTACTTTAAAAACTATAGCATGTTGCTGGCAGATCAAAGATAACCATAGTCTTCACACACTGTACCCACATAGGGGACTGAACCCAGATCTTCAGTTTGAGCAAAAGCCTTAACCACCAGGATACCTGGCTTTTCCAACATCCAGTATTAAACAAGAATTACCGTTTACCGCCGTCTATAGGGTGACCCTGTAAGGTGACCCCCCTGTACAAGCCTTCAAAATCTACCGTATTCAACATAATAATAAGCCCCCATGGCGATATTTGCTAATATATTCGCCAGTGAACAATCCCAATTAGCACCCCTACCGATTGATCAATGTACACAAGACCTATTTTTGTGTGTATAATATGCACTCGTGTGTAATATGCACCCTCAATTATGGGCAAATAAATTCTGGAAAAATATATCTGTCGTATATAAACATTTCAGGCTGTCAGCATAAACCATGAAATTTATCTTTCAACTGTTTTTTCACCAAAATAATATTCTAATAAGAGCCCCCTATTTTTAATTTTGAGAGCGCCCTGGGCGCATATTACGTCGAATACAGTAATTTATATACTCCATCGATAAAGCGAATCGGAAGGAAGCACATCACCAACGCATACACAATCCCTACATTTGCAATAAACATGTGTTTGGAGAAATAAAATTCAAGTAGGCCTTACCGCCGAAAAAAAATTACATTGTATCCGTCCAGCAAATTCAGGTAAACAAACTTGGTCAATACAAATTTGAAATTTGAGATACAACATCACAAGACATATTGATTTACCTTTGAAATTGTATTTCCTGTTCTGCAAGGCATTGTTTTATGTGCAAAGATTAAGATTACAGTGTGTACTGTCTCATACTGGACACATGTTTTCTCGGAATCTAGTGGATTCCGTTCAAAATTACCCAATAATATAACTTTTAATGATATTGGAATATACTATTCCTGATCATATAATAGTTTCAGATACAATTATTCTGATAATTGCATCAAAATTCCTCAATTTTATGAGGAAGAATATATTCCAATATGGTATTACTTTAGTTGCAGATTTACTTTCTATATATTAAATTAAAATAACCATAAACAGAGTAATTGGGTACAGCTGATTGCTATTGTCGGTTACTTTTTTTTAATGGAACAATTTGGCTGTCAAGGCTCACATTCTAGCGATCGCGAACACTTTATGTTGTCATATAATGACAACAAACTACAACAAATATGACTTTTAACGAGTCAAAGTATGGCATTTATGATATATGTATCTATTTTCTGTCAACTAAAGTTTGTTTCAAGGCCTTAATATAGCGGTAATCTGACCCTGGTTGCTGTAAATATTGGTGAGTTGTGCGATCTACTTATCATTTCACACACGTTTACACCAAAATTAATGCAAACAATTTTGAATGAAATTTGGAATAAAATTAACAAAATAGGTAACAAACATATGTCCAGATATTCAATGATCACTTTCTTTAACAAGCAGTATAATTACATGATTAATTTGCTTCAGTACGGATTTGTTAACATGGTATTTCCTGTTACCAACTGGATAATGTTGATAATCTCAGTAATGTCTGTGTTTGGAGGGCAAAAACCATCAAACATCAAAACTCTACTATGCTATGTATAAGGCGACCCCCCTTCAAACCCCGTAATTCTAGGTACGAAAAACTCGCCTTATAGACAGTGATATACGGTTGTGCTTTAGCAGGAGTATATATACATATTGCATTAGATCAAAGGTTTCGTGGAAACAGATGATTTGATTTGGTTTGGTTTGTTGTTTAACGCCACACTCAGCAATATTCCAGCTATATGACGACGGCCTGTAAATAATCAAATCTGGACCAGACAATTCAGTGATTGACATCATGAGCATCGATCCACGCAATTGGGATACAATGACATGCATCAACCAAGTCTGCAAGCCTGACCACCCGATCCTGTTAGTTGCCTTACTACAAGCATAGTCACATTTTCAGCAAGCATGGGTTGCTGAAGACCTTTTCTACCCAGGATCTTCACGGGTCGGAAACAGATGAAAACCATATGTGCAGTGTTATTTTATCATGCTTATATTATGATTTCTGCAGTATGATCTGAAAGTAAGTTGCCCAGCAGGTCTTGAAATCTGCCTCCAATGTATCAAACGTGAAACTTCACATAATGCTGCAATTTTAATAAGAAAAAAATAGCAATATACCTTCCATATAACACCAGAGGACACCCAACATGGGCTTCATATATTGTGAAGTTATTTAAAAATTAATTCTTTTATTTTTTCATGAAATCATGCAGACCCACACGAATTCTGAAAAAGTTCTCCCAAACCCATGAAACATCATACAGGGGAGACATGGGCTAGGTAGTTATGACACATTTACTCATGCTAGAACTGGCTACAACTAAAAAAATTCAAATTCATCAGGATTTCCAAGTTTATTCAAAATACATTCAAACCACATTTGAGACCCCTTCAGTGTCCCAAGCCGAACAATGTGATATCTCTCCACACCATCTTCATCAGTGACCAGTCATCCATCACCATTCATCCTCATTCCAAAACCATGCTGAAATTCTTCACAATTTCAATTTTAATTAAAATGCATTCAAACCAAATTTGACACCTCCAAAGTAACCAAAAAACACATGATGATCTGTCTGCAAACCATCTTCATCAGTGACAAACCATCCATGACCATTCATTCCCAAATATGCTCAAATTCTTCACAATTTCAAATTTATTTAAAATGCAGTCAAACCAAATTTGAAAACCTACAAAGTACCCAAGAAAAACAGGATGATGTTTCTGCAAACCATCTTCATCAGTGACAAACCATCCATCACCATCCCTTCTCAAACCATGCTCTGTAATTACACACCGAGATCACAAGTACCCAGTACACGCACCCCCCACACAGGCCTCTTGAACACACCTACTAAACCAGTGGACACTGGACAATGACAAGCAGGATGGTCAAGCACTGCAGGTAGTAATGGCTGCACGGTGTCATCAAAGACAGGAACAAGGGTTCCAGATGAGACGGAGAAATTGTAAAGCCTGCTATCACATAGCTAGGTATCAGCTTATTAAATGTTAATTCAATATCAAGTGATCCCATCGTTTCAGAGCCTTTCAGTTAAGGAGAGTGAAGGGTGTAATGTGCGGCTGGAAGTTTGAGGACATGAAGATTTTGATGGCGGGTTTGTTGGTATCAAGAACATATCTTATTAGATTTATGTGACTTATTTAGAGCATAGATACGGTAAGGAGATAAGCACTGATTAGTCTTGCAGATAACCAAGTCTATCATTAGCCTGCTTTTCACAAGGGTGAGAAATGCCTCTCACTATACAATAACAGAGCTTCTCAAGAAGGCGTGGAGAAATCGGGAGATTTACACCCAGTGACCACCTACTGGTCCACTGTTCAATGAGTGTACGATATGAGACCAGGGTTTTTGTGTCACCTGATTTGATGGAAATCAATACAACTGCCGAGATGTCCCCAAACACCATTCTTAAGGTATAATGTTTGTGATGTTAACACATCAGAAAAGTGGTCATAAATGTCTTAGAATCCCCGAAAATATTTTATCAAATCTTTTCGAAATATTTCTAGAAATATACAAATCAGAAGTCAGTAATAATAAATCTGATAATGATAAAAGTTCTGGGGTCAATTTCAATGCTGCCAGTAATCTATGTAACTTGATTTAACTTGCATAATATTTAGAGGGCCAGTACTTCTTGACTATATTTGATCCTGTTGGTTTATAGAGTGTATTTTTCTTTATAAAATATTCCCTGGCATCGTTTTGACTTAAACATGTTTAAAACTAACATAATGCTTGAACACAGAAAATGTTCAATGACAATGTCTAATATTGAGATATTGTTTACTGTACGACTAATCTATATGCTGTATCTGCATATCTCTGTAAACTCGAGAGGACCTACATATGTCAGCACTTGCTTGTTTACTCATCCAATTTCGACAAAAATGAAAAATATATACAAACCACAGCAAGATCTTGACAAACCCAGTAAGATGACATTCCCCTTAGAACAAGTCCTCTTATTTTCTTCACATTATTAAATAATTTAACGCATGGCTATTTTTCTCAACTTCTTTGTTGCAACTTTTTATAGTGTTTCAATTCCAGGGATGTCAACTTGTTAGGTTACTTGAGGTATGATGCTGACACACACTGAAACTTAACATTGGCAATTTAGAGTATTATGAGTGGTAGAAACTAACATTTTTTTGTCCACTCAGTCCTTATAATGATAACATATAGGAAAACCCTTAAAAAGGGCATATTTCTACTAGTCCTTATGATACCTTAACTATTGGCAGTTTGGCAAGGTCTACAGGATTAGTGCCAATATTTAATGCTGCTATCATTCTCTTTATTTAAAATCAAATTTAAAAACTGTCCATTCTAGACAGCGGCACCATCATAGAGCAAACGAAGCTGCGGAATCCCCGCTTGTCACCTGTTCTCGTTTATCGCTGCACCTGTTGAAGGGGACAAAGCTGATATTAAGGGATTCGTCATACAACCTGATCTTGGCCAAGATCTCATAATGACCCGACACCAATACATTCATCCTCCCCATCCACGGGACTAATTTTATTCTTTAGGACACAACTTCTCGCCTTGTGAAGCACCATGTCATTGCTAACCAGTCAAGTGTCACAATTTAATCAGAGCTTGCCATCTTGAAAACAGCCTGCTTTTATTGGGGTCAAATCAACCGAGATTGTTGTCCACCATAACAGGTTATTTTTCAGTGGATTGTATCATTTAATCAACTCCTGGTCACGTAAACAAGGACTCCCCACAGTCAAGTATAAGGGCTGGTGGGGACGGAGAGGGTCGTATTGTTCATCACCATGTACTCTTTCAGGTGTCACAACTGACGCGCACACACGGTTAGGACATTTCAATCAATCTTATTTACTGCAATCTTGATTTAGTTCAAGTACGCTGACTGTCAACAAATTGGTTTCGCAAGCTGAATAGTTTGCTAAGTGGAAAGTGGCAGAACTAATTTTGTTCAATGGAATCTGGTTTCTTGCTTGTATAGTGTAAATATGCAATGTAAAATGTGTTCTGCTCAATAAAGTGGAATCTGTCCAAAATGGATTTGACTAAACAATTACTCTCTCTTTGCCCAACCAAATGGCCAACTAATCAATTTCTCCCTCATTACCTAGCCAAACAAACAACAGGACATAGACTTGACACTCTTTAATCTGGATTAACTTTGTCTTTTTGATACACTGTCTCATGATATTTTCACAGAAGATTTGATAATGATTTTGAAAAATTTATTCTTTCCTCTTTTTTGAAAACATACAAAAGTCAGGGAACTGGCAATTGAATAATCTTAAACATTGTTTTCAATCTAGTGTGTTCATATATTGACACCAGAGACAATTCGTGCTAAAGTTCCACGAATCCAGATGATTGTCTGAAAGACACTTTCGGTCCTACACAATTTCAGTTTAGACAGATTCAACTGTACTAACGAACATGACGGAGAAAGTGAATGTATAGAGTTTAACATCACTTAGAACAGTACTTCAGTATATCAAGGCATGTCAGCTTGATGTGAGAGGACAGCGTTAGAAATTGGCACTAGTCCTGGGCCCACTTGCACAAAGCGATCTTAGCGCTAAGATGATCATAGCTCCCATGTTTTAACATTGCCTTACAATAGTCGTAGCGCTAAGATCGCTTTGTGCAAATGGACCCTGTAGCCTTGCTAAACTGCCCAATGGTTAAGGTATCCTAATGACGAGTCGAAATTTGCCCTTTTTAAGGGTTTTGCTATATCATATGTTATTATAAGGACCAGTGGACTAAAACTGTTAGTTTCTATCATTGCAAAAGTGATTCTGGTTTTAAAAATTTACACCTTTGATGAAACCCATGAGCATGGGTATAGTTTGTATTCTGAATAAACAGCAACATTCTAATAAGATATGGAACAGCTGACTAAATGTGTGAACAGAATGACCCAAGGGGTGAGAATATTTTTTCTCTAAAGACCTATGAATGCATTTTATCAAGTCCCCTTGGCATAAAAGAAACAAATGTTTCTAAATCTTCAAGCAAACCATTCTTGATCTGACCCGTGGAAAGTATCAATTAACATAAAAATCTCTGGTATGAATAAAAGTGAGGAGTTCTCATATTTCTAGGGTCAATAATGCCTCCTTATACTAGTGTCAAACCAAGCCTTGACCACTGAAATAGCTTAGAAACAATAAGGCTGGTGGGAATACCGGAAACAAGTTTTCTTATATGAGCAGCAGTTGTAAAGGTGTTTCCTGATGTGAGTGCCATAAAGCTATCAGTTGACACATCTACACAATCCAGTGAAACACCCGTAACAATACCTGCTGTAGGTATAGCATTTCCACCTGTGTATAACCTGTCAGCTCCATTGTCATACAGGTGTCAATCATAGGATATTGCTGCGATTGACTACCCCTGCCACTGGTTGTCGGGAGGGGGGAGAGGAGGAGGGGGGGGAGACAGGATTACAAACACCTTTCTGAACCCCCAACATGTCAGTGTTAGACAAGACACGAGAATTCCACTTCAAAGATGATGGTTACTTAGGCTGGTTGACAAAAACTGTTCACAATCTCATCACAATCTGGATACTTTGGCTCTTGTTGTTTCTTTTGATTGAGAGCACCCCGACAGGTCAAACAATGAAAGTAGCCAGTAGTGGGATCGACAAAAGGTTCTTGATTCAACAGATGGAGCAGCATTGGGGTGGGCATCAAGTCAAAAACAGGTTATGGGAACAGGGCTACTTTTCCCACTACAACTCGTTACTCTTCTGAGGCTGTCACTATTCAGAAATTGTTATTCTTCCCTTTTTTCATCTGAAACAGCATCCTCTCAAGTGAAGGTCATAGGTCTTGAAATCATACAATATGTTTGTAAAACTATACAATGATGGCCCTCGACGTGCATTCCAATCTGGTTGGTAACAAGAGCTGTCAAAGAGCTGACCAGTGCAGGTCTGAGCCTGGTCAAGACTGGACAATACTTGTCCTTGTGTTGCCACCTCTGGACAAACACGACTCTTCCTTACCCCCTTAACATGATTAGAAGACTTCAATCTTCATCAATACTCCCGCCCTAGGGAGGATCTACCTAACCTCTGCCACCCAGAAAACCCTTTATCCTCCTCAGGCTCCTAGACCAGGATGGGAGGGACTCAGTGACCCTCATTATCAACGAGAAGACAATCAACACAGGGGGGATGAACTGGGAGAGAGGAAGGCAGTATGGGAGGTGCTGTCCGGCCACAAATCCCAGCCCTGGTCTCACTTCATTACACATCAATGCTCCGTCTCTTTACTCTGCGGCTACCATTGTTTGACAGGGCCACTGTGGGAATCTGATACAGTAGACTCGACTGGACAACAGCCTGTCATTAACACTCCATAGAGACACCGGCCACATTCCTTCCAACAACCTGAGGCGGCCTGTGTTTACCTGGGCGCTACAGGTATAAGAGCTGGAGTCAGGCGGGGGACACACCAGAGGAATGCTGTAGTGCTGCACGTGGTAGACCTCTACACCAAACCAGGGTTAGAAATTGGCACTAGTCCTATAGTCCTTGCCAAACTGCCCAATAGTAAAGGTATCCTAAGGACTAGTAGAAATTAGCGATTCTTAAAGGTTTTGCTATATGTTATCATTATAAGGACTAGTGGACTGAAACTGTTAGTTTCTACCGCTGCAAACCAATGCACTTTTATATGTTGTGACACACCACTGGACTACACCAGCAGCACAGGAGTCCATTTCCAGGATTATCATCTTCATCTGCTTCATCGGAACTGCCAAATATGCAAATAATGCTACTTCCCAACTGACACAAGGTGGAGGTTCTGATACACCTTCTCAAGAGATTACACCATGACAAGGCTGGATCTTCATCTGCTGTACATGGGACTGTCAGTATTACCCATGCTAACATCTGCTGCACCTCTCTCCAGCAATGCAGCTTGTAATCACAAATTTAACCACAGTATACAGAGGTGTTTGGAAGCTTTCCAAGACTTGTATCAATCTCAGCAGCAAGAAAATGGAATGGATCACCTCATTGTTAAACACCTTTGCTTGTAAGTATAATGTTTATTTCTTACCATGATGAATTATATGCCTAAAATAAGTTAAGGACCACTCATTTTTTTCATATCACCAAGGTGGCATGACAGACTAACTTTAGTAATGTGAAAGAATCGGATGATCTTTGATGTTTTTTAGTAGTATATGAATGGGTTATTATTGTTTAAGGGTTTAAGAAGGCTTCAAATTCTAGGACATTGACTTATACAAAATGTCATCAGGCAAAATCTGTTTCGGTCCCATTTTCAAATCTAGCCATTAATCTTTAATCAAAAAGGAAAATTGAAACTAATCATATGCAACTTTCACTTTCATGCATCAGCAGTGACTATTAGTTTCTTTTCATAAAATTTGTCAAACAAATCAATTAACTTGAAAAAGACACCAAAAGGCAGTACTACATAAATTTAACACCCCTATTTAAAAAGAAGTATAAAAAATGGTTACAGCCAAGTGGAGATCCGAAAGAAGAAAAAATTTCATTTATTCTGGTGAAGTATTCCTCTGTGTTTCCCAGCCAAAAGCCATCTCCAAAGTTGACACCTGATTCAAGCTGTGTGCACTCTACAAAAACATTGATTTTTTGCCCAAAAGACAAATTTACCATGGGTTGCTATCAAAACATATAAGACTACCGCAAAGCTCTGTGAATTATCTAAGGAAGTCATACTTGTCATGTTGTCAGCAATCAGAGGTATAGGCTAAACACAACCAAGACGGAACCACAAATATGTTCCCTCAATATTGTCTCATTAAGTGCTTTGGGAAAGAGAGAAATGGATTGTTTCAAGGTGATTACAAACTTGTGAATGACGTTCACGTATATTGAATGTATTAACCAACAATAAACACTGAATCATTACAATGGCTTCAAGAGAAGCTATCTATGGCACTGATTTCTTTACTATTTGTCGCCAAAACAAAAAAAATACAAAGAATAACATTTATGTCCAATTTGACTTGCACCAAACAAACAATTATTCGTGTCTTCTCTAATTGATGAGTCTTTAATCTGATGTGAAATTAACGCGTCATCACATGTACAGAAATGTAATTGACACTTAATGTTTTTTCGTTACTTTTTACAGAGAGTATGAAAAGACATTACAATGTATGCACTCGGCCTTGACAAGTTGCCCGACCCCGAAAAACATCCAACGTGTTCAACACAAATTGGGAGCTGACTGGGTGATGGGTGTCAATCAACTCTGCCGTATCCAATCAGAAAGCAGGACCGATGAAAGTGGCAATGAGGATGAAATGGATTACTTGCCAAACACCACAAAAGAGGAATCTCAGGATTCAAAACAAAGTGACGAAGCTCCCACGCCAAACAGTGTAAATGAAAGACTCAATGACAATAATCTGGACACAAACGAACTTCCAGAGTCAGTGAAAGGAAAACAGGTCTCATTCTGGAGCAAAGTGATTCGAGTGAGACGCTTAAAGACTTCAAGAGATTCCCCTTTGGAAAAGGACAATATTGAATACAAATTTTACAACATATTAACAAATTACACTTCTTCGGCTTCAAGGAGTCAATACTTGACACTGTTATTATGGATACTGCCTACAGTATTGTTTGTTTCGTGGGCACTGTAGTGTCAGCTCATCAAGTCACTGTTATGTTGAGTTTTTGTTTTGTTATCATTGTTTTTGCCTATGTAATAAACAACATCACTTCTAAGATTTTTGTGATATTGATCTATCCAGCTGAAGTTAGTGAGTGAGCTTGGTTTAACACTGCTTTGAACAGTATTTCAGTTATTTATATATATCACAGCATGTCAGCTTGGTGTGGAGGGAAGAAAGTGATGTAGATCTTAGACATTTATAACTTTGGTGGAACCCATGTTCACAGGAATGATGCTGACAAACCAAGAAACATATAAATGGAGTCCTATACTGCTCAAAAGAATTTGCAGAACAACCGATTCTTTCATATTACAGTTAATCTGTAATGTCATGACCAATTAATGGAAGCAATATGAAAGAATTGGAATTTCTTCAAGTTCTTTTGAGTAATATATATGAATATTAATGTGACCCAAAATAAAGCAACAAATTACAATATTGTGAACATATCACATGTCTAACCCAAGTGCTGTTAGTCTTCTAGGCATTGTCACTACATGGATCAGTAGTGATTTCATTCTTTCTTTGTTGTTTAACTCCACAATCACCAATTTTCCAGCTATATGATGTCAGCCTGCTAATAATGGGCCCTGTTCCACAAAGCAGACCCTTGAAGATACTGGTTAGAATTGGACTTCAGTAACCCATGCTTGTCGTAAGAGGAGACTATGCTTGTCGTAAGAGGCAACTAACAGAATGAGGTGGTCAGGCTCGCTGACTTGGTTGATGCATGTCATCATATCCCAATTGCGTGGATCGATGCTTATATCAATCACTGGATTGTCTGGTCCATACTTAATTATTACAGACTGCCATCATATAGCTGGAATGTTGCTGAGTGCGGCGTTAAACAACAAACAAACAAATCCACAAAGCGATTTTAACACTAAGGCAATCATAACTCCCATACTTTAACATAGATTCATGACAGTGTTTGGGCTAAGATTGTTGTGTGGAACGGTCCCTGGACCAGACAATCCAGTGATCAATACTGTGAAGAGAGATGAGAGTACTTGGTACGATGACACACAATCAACCAAGTCACAGAGCCTGTGAGTCTAATGATGCCTCAAGCTTTACTGGGGGGCACGGGTGGCCAAGTCGTCTAGGGCGCTGCGATTCACTGTGCAGAGTTGCGTCCTTTGGGTACGCCAGAAACCTATGATTGTGGGTTCGAATCCCGGTTCGCCCCGATTATGTTTCTAGGTTTGTCAGCACCATACCCGTGCTCGTGGGTTTCACCGAAGTGGTAAACGTCTGAGACCTGCATCACTGCGGGCTTTCCTCCCACATTAAGCTGATAAGCGGCGATATAACTGGAATACTGTTAAAAGTGGCGTTAAACCAAACTCACTCACTCACTCACTCACTCAAGCTTTACTGGAAACACTGCACTGATCTCATGGAGAATGAAATCTATAAACACTGCTGGGATAAATGAACATAGTGAAGTTGGATTTGCCATTGCAGCATGGATCTAAAACATCACTGGCATATACATCCCATGTTTCAGTTAGCCGCCTCCGTGGTCTAATGGTAGAGCGTCCGCCCGGAGAGCGGAAAGTCCAGAGTTCGATCCCTGGCCGTGTCATACCAAAAGAAGTTAAAAGATGGTACTTGTTGTTACCCTGTCTGGCGCTCGGCATTAAGGGGCTAAAACAAGGACTGGTCGGCTCGGAGTCAGTATACTGTGTCTGAGTGGGGTATTCATGTTAAACTGCGGCATGGTATCTCAGTGTGCTTGCACTATAAATCGGCTTCAGTCCGGACTAGTACAAGCAGCCACACACACATACACGTGCATGCATGTCGCTATATAAGAGCAATAATCTTGGACACGGCGTTAAACCCGATTTCACCTCACCTATGTTAAAGCTGTTGATTGTACATGTTTGGGTCAGTCTATATTGACAGCATATCATTTATATTTGGATTCCGAGGGGCAAGTTGTGATCCTTGTGCTATGACTGTCATATGTCTATGCTAAATAGTTGGTGTGGACTTACATCTCTGAAATGAACATATTTCACAGAAAAAAACAAGTGTTAAATTATGGTGATATGGTAATAAAAGGAGTCCAGAGATTTTCTTCATTTTCGGTATACTGCAGTAATCTAGACATGCCAAATTATAGACTTGCATGGGCTGTATTGGATATATTTGCTTTGTATGACAGACTAGCAAGCAGCGTTAGAAATTGGCACTTGTCCTGTAGTCCTTACCAAACTGCCCAATAGTAAAGGTATCCTAAGGACTAGTAGAAATTGGCCCATTTTAAGGGTTTTGCTATATGTTATCATTATAAGGACAAAAACTGTTAGTTTCTAACCCTGGCAAGGGTCTTAAGATCATCTTAGTGCTTAAGTCACTTTGTTGAACTGGGCCCAGGTTTGGTAATAAAATACAGCATTGATTTAACATTTACATATTTTGGCAAATCAATGATCGTTTTGAATGTCCAGCTCAATCAATTAACCCATTATTCATTCAATCGCTCCAGCATTATAACTGTTCAATAATCAATAACCCATTGAACAGTATTATAGCTTATCTTCATGTCTCATTAGGAATGATATCCCAGGTAATAATAAGGTTGCTTGTGTAGCACGCTTAACTCCATACAACGACTGCTCAGAGTGCAAAGGTACAGAGATCACCACATCAGACAAGGGTTCGGACATTTGGCATGTGCAGCAAGATGGGGGCCTCCCTGAATGGCTGGAAGTTTGTTGTCAAACAAGCATGATAAGTGAAACATGGTAAGTATGACTTGGCCTCAATGAAACAGTGAGTTGGTGTATTCCGGGATTGATATATTCATTCTCAGAGGCTGATATTAAGATGTATGTCTACATCTCGTGTTAGTTAAATGTCCAATTCATGTTTGTATGATCAGGGGCAGTATTCTTAAAAATTCTCAGAACTTGTTTTAAATACTCTAAACTCGTTAGGAAAATTATGTAAATTTGGGTATTTCTTTATCGGACTTGAGATTTCTTAAGCATTCAATGATATTTTTTATGAATATGGCCAAAGGACTAGTTCTATAGTCTTGCAAAGGTGGCTTGTATTTTGCTGATAACAAGGCTTTGCTCATAATCGGAGAAAGTGTCTGTGTAATATCATCATGATTACTTCTGGCATGCAGAATACTGCAGCAAACCATACTGTGATCAGCAGATTATAAACAATTTCTACCATAACATCATCTTATTCAGGGCGTAAGATCTTCCCAGGTCTGGAAGACTGAAACTGATATTTGTTTTTGAAAATAATTCACCTATGTAGCTTGCATGGAGAAACCCTTTTGCGAACAGTACACAGTTATGTTGACAATGTTAAAAAATAAAGGATGTTTGTACCAATAGTATCTGAAGCTAAGAACCCCCTGAATTTGTAACTTCTTACATTTGTGTTGTGGTAAGGGCCCTTTGAATTTCATGGCTAATCTTGAACACTGGCTGGTATGGGAATCCAACATGGATGTTGTATTCAAGGACAGTGCCAACTCATAGGAGTGCTGCATGAAATTGAGGTATCTCCTAGGACTGAGACAGGTAACTCAGTTATTTGGGATGGGTCCCGAGTAGGACCAGGGTACCCACAGGACTCCCTGGGCTCATGGTGAGTCAGGTGATAAATTGTTTAATGACAATAACAATGAAACTTTACGGTTACACTACATGGCACTAATGTTCACATTTCTTTCTTCCGACTTTTTTATGTGTCAGTAAACATAAAGCAGGGCTCGATATAAGAAACTTGATTTAACTTGCTCCAGGTTTTGACATGTTGACCCAGTTGCACTGGACAAAACCAGTTGAAACATAGATAAATAAACAGGTCTAAATCTCTGATAACTGTATCCCGATTTTACATAAAATTAATGACGTATTGCTGTAAAACGAAACCGGAACGTGTTCATAATCTTGAAGTACCCACAGTTTGATGACAAGCACAAGAAAGCATAACAAATTCAACAAAACACAAGGGTCAGTGGTGTAGTATGGTACATAAAGCTGAAAGGTATTGAGTTGTTGGTTTGAAAAGTAAGGGTAAGTTGGAAACAAATTTGAATTTTTCCACATTCACATGGTGCAAGTAGACAAACATTAGGTTGCACTGGTGCATGTTGCGACATGGAGTTGATTGGTCGGATATCAGTCAACAATTACTGCATGCATCTGACATGAGTCTTGAGAGCATCCAATCCTGGACATGCCCCCAGATATAATCAGGAAACTGACTCATATTGTGATGGGTCAGCTGGGATCATTGTGTTCTGGGGGTGTTTTTCTCAAGATCCCATACTGGACCTAGCATTTCATTGTTTGTTTGTTTGTTGTTTTATGCCACACTCAGGAATATTCCAGCCATATGATGGCGGTCTGTAAATAATCGAGTCTGGACCAGACAATCCAGTGATTGACATCTTGAGCATTGATCTACGCAATTGGGATACGATGTCATTCATCAACCAAGTCAGTGGGTCTGACCATCCGATCAGTGAAATTCCTAATGAAAGGAATTGTACAGGCACTTAACAATGGCCATACAAATATCTGGTGTATATATATATGTTTCACGGTAGATTCAACTAAATTTTATAAGAAAATGATTAATATTTACAGTTCATGCCAAAACATGGCCCCTAGCATTTTCAGTAGAATTCAGTGTTATATCAACTATAATTAAGTGACTTACAAGACCAAAGAGAATTTTACTAAACTTAGCCCAAAGTCGCAGACTGTCTTTATGAAAATCTGACATTTTATGGGTGCCTTGCAGAATTTATGCATTTCAAAATGAGTGATGATGTGAAACAGTCAACTGTTATAAGATAGGTGGAGGATGCATTTCAGTTATGTGAAACCCACAAGCATGTGTATGGAGCTGACTAAACAAAGGCCATTATCATGAAAAATGTGGAATTGAAACCTCCAATCATGCTGGAGCCAAGGGAGGCAACTCTGCACAGCAAATTGTTATCTGCCTAGTAGCCACCTTTACTGATCCATAATGTACAGATAGTAGGGTTGTCACAAAATGCTTATCTCACTGATTGACACATAAATTATTGCAATTCTTATGTCACAATATATTAATTGTGGTGGTTCTCAATTTGCATATATTTTGTGCGAATTTCTCCATGGTCCATATGGCTCAACAAAGAACAGTATTTTGGGTTTTTTTGTAGTAAAGAAATGCTCCTGGCCGAGTTATCAAAAACATGATTTGAAACATGGGCAGGTGTATCGTGCAACATATTATTTGCGTCAAATTTTACTGCACGAAAAGGAGGAATTCACAAAGGCTACCTCAGACCCAGTTTAATACATGTGGCTACCTTCAATATGCGACACCCCAGGTTACAGACACTATCCACTATCTCAGCAGGCCCAGTTTAATACATGAGGCACCCAGGTTACAGACACTATCCACTATCTCACCAGACCAAGTTTAGTGCATGTGCCTACCGTCAACATGAGGCACCCAGGTTACAGACACTATCCACTATCCCCCAGACCCAATGCATGTGCCTGCCGTCAATATGAGACACCCCAGGTTACAGACACTATCCACCAGACCCAATGCATGTGCCTACCGTCAATATGAGACACCCCAGGTTACAGACACTATCCACTATCCACCAGACCCAATGCATGTGCCTACCGTCAATTTAAGACAACCCAGGTTACAGACACTATCCACTATCTCAGCAGGCCCAGTTTAATACATGAGGCACCCAGGTTACAGACACTATCCACTATCCCCCAGACCCAATGCATGTGCCTGCCGTCAATATGAGACACCCCAGGTTACAGACACTATCCACTATCCACTATCCACCAGACCCAATGCATGTGCCTACCGTCAATTTAAGACAACCCAGGTTACAGACACTATCCACTATCTCAGCAGGCCCAGTTTAATACATGAGGCACCCAGGTTACAGACACTATCCACTATCCCCCAGACCCAATGCATGTGCCTGCCGTCAATATGAGACACCCCAGGTTACAGACACTATCCACTATCCACCAGACCCAATGCATGTGCCTACCGTCAATATAAGACAACCCAGGTAACAGACACTATCCACCCGACCCAATGCATGTGTCTGCCATCAATATGAGACACCCGAGGTTACAGACACTATCCACCGTCCCTCAGACCCAATGCATGTGTCTGCCATCAATATGAGACAACCCAGGTTACAGACACTATCCACTATCCCCCAGACCAAATGCATGTGCCTGCCGTCAATATGAGACACCCCAGGTTACAGACACTATCCACCAGACCCAATGCATGTGCCTACTGTCAATATGAGACACCCCAGGTTACAGACACTATCCACCAGACCCAATGCATGTGCCTGCCATCAATATGAGACACCCCAGGTTACAGACACTATCCACTATCCACCCGACCCAATGCATGTGTCTGCCATTAATATGAGACACCCCAGGTTACAGACACTATCTACCAGACCCAATGCATGTGCCTGCCATCAATATGAGACACCCCAGGTTACAGACACTATCCACCATCCCCCAGACCAAATGCATGTGCCCACTGTCAACATGGACACCCCAGGTTACAGACACTATCCACTATCCCCAAGACCAAATGCATGTGCCTGCCATCAATATGAGACACCCCAGGTTACAGACACTATCCACCAGACCCAATGCATGTGCCTGCCGTCAAAATGAGACAACCCAGGTTACAGACACTATCCACTATCCCCCAGACCAAATGCATGTGCCTGCAATCAATATGAGACACCCCAGGTTACAGACACTATCCATCAGACCCAATCCATGTGCCTGCCATCAATATGAGACAACCCAGGTTACAGACACTATCCACCAGACCCAATCCATGTGCCTGCCATCAATATGAGACACCCCAGGTTACAGACACTATCCACCAGACCCAATCCATGTGCCTGCCATCAATATGAGACACCCCAGGTTACAGACACTATCCACCCGACCCAATGCATATGCCTGCCATCAATATGAGACACCCCAGGTTACAGACACTATCCACTATCCACCAGACCCAATGCATGTGCCCACCGTCAATATGAGACACCCTAGGTTACAGACACTATCCCCCAGACCCAATGCATGTGCCTACCTTCTCTTCCATGATGCGGGGGATCTCGGGGAGGAAGTCTTCAGTGACCGTCCTGTACAGGTTCTTCTCACATCTCACTTTGCTTTCCTTGAAGTTCTCGGCCAGCTGCTCCCAGTCCACCAGACTCTGGCAGACCAGGTGCCACCGATCTACGGGAACTTTTTCCTTCTTTAGGACAGATAGAGGGACATCTTCATTGTCCTCAGAATCTTCAGGCTCTTCAGGCTCTTCTTCTTCTTCTTCCTCTTCAGTTTCCTCATTGTCTTCCTCTTCTGTTGCGTCATCATCACTGGAGAAACAGATTTGGTTGAACCATTTACAAAAACAGCACAAACTATGCTTGAAAGAATGTTGTTGGCAAGACTATTGGATCCTACCCTGACTGGTACCAGTTACACAGAATCAAACAAAAGGATCACACATTCATACCCATTGCCATGCAAAACAAGGGTGGTTAAGTCTTTCCTCTTGAGTGAGTATGGTTTTATGCTGCTTTTAGCAATATTCCAGCAATATCATGTCGGGGACACCAGAAATGGGCTTCACACATTGTACCCATGTGGGGAATTGAGCCCGGGTCTTTGGCATGACAAGCGGATGCTTTAATCACTAGGCTACCCCACCGCCCCCTTGCTCTTGAAATCAAGTGACAATTAAACTGTTTGAAGGAGTGAGTGAGTGAGTGAGTATGGTTTTACGCCGCTTTTAGCAATATTCCAGCAATATCACAGCGGGGGACACCAGAAATGGGCTTCACACATTGTACCAATGTCGGAAATCGAACCCGGGTCTTCGGTGTGACGAGCAAAGGCTTTAACCACTAGGCTACCCGACCGCCCCACTGTTTGAAGGACAAAACACTGTCCTTGGTCTTAGTTGAAAATGTAAGCACGAAGGAGTCAGAAAAGTTGAACCTGTGTCAACGTCTACAATTTAATCATGTACATTTCAGACCACAGAAGCAACAATGTGCCCGAGGAGGAAGGAAGCTTCACCGATGGATGTGTGTCCAACATAGTTTTGTCCGACAAACAATTTCAAATGATTGTATGGTACAAAATAAAACTTGTGACTCACAATATTCCTCCATTTGCAAATTGTTACTTTGAAGAAAAACCTGTTATGGGGTTTGACTGAAGATTATTCCATTCAAAGTAAAACCCCTTAACAGGTATCTGGTAAAACGTTTTTTGCAGATCTCCCTTATTTTGGCAACATCTTCCTGGTACAATGAAAACGGCCTACTATAGGTTCGTAAAGGCAGACCAAAGAATAAAGGCCAACAACATCTTGCAATGATTCTTGGTGAACTTTTCTTCATAATATTTCAGTGTGTTACACCCAGAGGCTTTCTCCCCAGCCTTGAGTCTCCAAAGCTGGCAGAGATCCGGGGTAGAATAGGTCTTCAGGAACCCATGCTTACCGTAATAGGCGATTATGCTTGTCGTAAAAGGTGATTCACGGGATCGGGTGGTCAGTTTTGCTGACTTGGTTGATGCATGTCATCGATCCCAATTGCGTGGATCGATGCTCATGATATTAATCACTGGATTGTCTGGTCCAGACTCGATTATTTACTGCTCGCCGTCATATAGCTGGAATATTGCTGAGTGCGGCGTTAAACAACAAATCAGCCAACCAACCAAAGCTGGCAGCTGCCCTTCACCCAACCTCATCAAAGACTTACGCCCACTGCTGATTCCCTAAGCCTGCACACACACCCCATCACCATTTGTCATTTCTACAAGCCTGACTCTCCCCTAACAACTCACCTGGTGTCTTCATGTACAGCTGGTGAAGCTGTCCCCTTGGCCCTGCGACTCAGTCGGCTGCTGCGCCGTGACGGCGTGTCATCTCCTGCTGCTGGGGCTGCTTCATCCACCGCATCCCTGGAGGCAGACAACAGGGCCTACTCATACATGGTGAGAGGACAGGGTTCAACGCCGCTTTAAACAGTATTCCAGTTACCGTATTCGACGTAAAAAGCGACCGGGGCCCTCTCAAAATTAGAAATAGGGGGCTCTTATTAGAATATTATTTTGGTGAAAAAAACAGAGTTCGTGGTTTATGCTGACAGCCTGAAACGTTTACATACGACAGATATATTTTTCCAGAATTTAATTGCCCATTATTGAGGGTGCATTCAACACGAGTGCGCATTATACACGAATAAATAAGTCTTGTGTACATTGATCAATCGGAAGGGGTCCTAACTGGGATCGTGCACTAGCCAATATATTAGCAAATATCGCCGTGGGGCTTGTTAGAGCGGGGCGCTTATTACGTCGAATACGGTATTTCATGTGGAGGGAATGATGTATGTCTTAGATGTTTACCACTTTGGAAAACCCGCGAGCACGGGTAATGTGCTGACAGACCTAGACACATACTCAAGACAAACTGAGATTTGAACCCATGATCATAGCTTCCTTGCATGCCAAAGGGACATAACCCTGCACAGTGAATTGCAGCACTTTGGCGATTGGGTTACCAATACTCTCATGAGCACTCTTAAGAATTAAGAGAATCAAATAGATACTGCTCCAGTTGGTTTCACAAAAATACTTGCATGCTATGACTATTACAAGTTCATGTTAAAATGGATTTACAATTGTCATATTAGGGTTACCTTAATTCCCCCAACGTCCATGCACATGTGAGTGAGTGAGTTTGGTTTAACGCCACTTTTAACAGTATTCCAGTTATATCACGGCGTGTCAGCTTAATGTGGGAGGAAAGCCCTAAGTGATGCAGGTCTCAGACGTTTACCACTTCGGTGAAATCCATGAGCACGGGTATGCTGCTGACAAACCTAGAAACATAATCGGGGCGAACCGGGATTCGAACCCACAATCATAGGTTTCTGGCGTGCCCAAGGGACGCAACTCTGCACAGCGAATCGCGGCGCCTTAGACGACTGGGCCACCCGTGCCCCCCCATGCACATGTGTGAGTATTTGGGTGTGGCTGCTTGTACTAGTCCGGACTAAAGCCAGTGCTAGCCCACTAAGACAGCATGCCACAGTTTAACATGGATACTCCACTCAGATACAGTATACTGACTCCGAGCCGACCAGTCCTTTTAGACCGACCTGTTTTAGCCCCTTAATGCCGAGCCCGAGGCAGAAAACAACAAGTACCGTTTTTTACAGTCTTTTGTATGTTGATGATGGGTCTAGTCCATGGATATGCTATGTCATTGGGCTATGATGCCACACTATCAACCAAGTGACGGTGCCTGACAACCCGATCAATTCAGTTGCCTCTTATTGCAAACCTGGGATGCCTATTATTTCGAGACACGACTAAAGGGCCCTTTACATAAGTATTGAGTTTTTATGCATCTGATCATGACTTCACGATCGTGTATCCTACCCTGCATCATGATGCATCAGTCAAAATTAACCCTTTCAAGACAACCCCTGACAAGAGTAGTCAGAAGATGACAAATCCCCATCGGCCAACACAAAATCAAAAGAACAAATGATCTGACTATTACTTTAAGTACAACTTGATGAGAGAATTTCTATCTAATCTGTCTGTCCGTAAACAAGAGTAGTTATTGAGCTATCAACATGATCAAAACAATACCATGGAACTGGGCATTGGAACTTTGTATTTCTGTCAGGTACACACCACTATGAACAGTACAAAATTAAACTTGTTGCCATGGAAACAGAAAAATCCCTAAATAACCAAAGGCACCAGTTGACAACCTGGTGTTTGTGTCCGCACAGTTTCAAGAAAAAGTTTCAAGTAAATCAAGAAAAAAGATTTTGAGATATTGTCCAGACAAACACACCACTATGAACAGTATGAAAGCCAAACTTTGCCATGTAAACAGGTCACCTTTTTGAGACTAAGTTCAAAATGTTTCAATGGACTTCGAGAAAAAGAAAAATACCAAAAATCTGCATATAGCAAAAGGTACCACTTCATGATGTGTTTGATATATCTGCCAGGTTTTGCTGAAAGATATTGAACGTTTTTTGAGCTGTGCTCTGGAAACGAAATCCACTCCCTTATAAGACTAAGTTGCCATGGACATCGAGAAAACTAAAAATGCAAAAAAAAATGCAAATAGCCAAAGGCACCACATCAGGATCTGTTTGATATATATCTCAAATTTTTGCTGAAAAATATTGAATGGTTTTATTGCCGGGGGTATAATAAACCAATTAATCAACCGAGTCAGCCTGACCACCCAATCAATTTAGTCTCCTCTGACGATCAGCATAGGTTGCCGGGGTCCAGTTCTAATCCGGAATCCCCACACAGCAGTGGTCATACACCTACCCATCTTGTGTCTGGGGAGGTCCCGTTGTTGCTGCTTCCTCTGTATTATTGGTCACTGATGCAGGCTCCGTGGATTCCACCTCCATTTCCTCATCAGCCTTTGCTTCCAATGTGCTGAGGGGAGGAACAAAAACACATGAGAAGACCACATTACAGTGAACCCTCGCTACAATGCTACCTATGGAGTCAAAATAATTGATGATCAACGGTTTAGATGGGGAGGAGTCGTAGGGAGTAGATGACCAACACAACAGTACATGCTTGCTCTGCCTACCAAACACAATCTATGCTGCACGTTTCAGAGACTGAAAAAAGTTGTTTTATATGATTGTTTTTAAGCAGAGATAAGATTGTGTGTATTGTCTCGTATACCAAGCCTGAAACAGCAATCAGATGAACACACGTTTTCTCCCAAATCTACAAGTGATTCAGTTAAAGGTTACCCAAAAATATAATTGAGTGAGTTTTAGCACTATTCCAGGAATATCACGGCAGGGGACACACCAGAATTGGGCTTTACACATTGTACCCATGTCGGGAACCGAACCCGGGTCTTCGGTGTGACGAGCGAATGCTTTAACCACTAGGCTACCTGACCTAAGAATTTTAAAGAATTTGGATGCAATGATAGGAAGAAGCGTATCTTAAACTTATCTTTTATAACAAGTAATATTTTAATATCATGTTATGTTAGTTTCAGCTTTATTGTATATATATTAAAAATAATAATAACCATAAGCATCGCAAAAAAAGAGAACAAAATGCCTCTTATATTGACAGCAAAGTCTAAAAAAACAAATTCTTAAAACCATGAACCAAAATAATTGTGCATGAATTACCATTTATTAAGTTAAAATGATTTGACTATTTGATATGTCACCTTTCTTCCTCTTTCTGTTCCACATCTTCCTGCTCCAGCTTCTTCCTCGAGCGGCCCTTCCTCCCAGATACCCTTTTCCTCCTTCCACTACTTCTCCTTGAGCGGGGTCGGGACTTCTTCTTCTTGACTACAGGAGTCCTACTATCAACACACCAGGCAAAGCAAATGATTCCCCATAAGCCAAAGTCTCCACAAAGTGCAGGACAACAAAGTGTATAATTATGTAGACAAGCAAAGGAGTTTTTATCATCATCGAACGGAATGGCTTCTTGCTCAAACCAAAATTTACTCAACAAAATTAATCTTCACTTGACTCCTTTGTACATACTGTTTGGAAATAGTGAGTGAGTTGGGTTTAACACTGCTTTTAACAGTATTCCAGTCATATCACGGCGTGTCAGCTTAATGTGGGAGGAAAGCCCGAATTATGCAGGTTTCAGACGTTTACCACTTCGGTGAAATCCACGAGCACGGGTATGGGGCTGACAAAACTTGAAACATGATTGGGGCAAACCAGGATTCGAACCCACAATCATAGGTTTCTGGTGTGCCAAAGGGACGCAACTCTGCAATGCGAATAGTGTGCCCTAGACGGCTGGGCCACCTGTGCCCCCACATACTGTTTGGAAATAGACACTGTTATACCATATACGATTCTCATATCGCGATATCAGGAAAATAATCATTAGGTGCATTGAAAATGTTTTCTAGCAGACGAGTCAATATTCATCATGTGACAGGTTAATACTGATCATGTGACATTGACAAGTCAATATTCGAGGTCAGTATCAGTCACATAATTTGGGGGTCTACATTGAGATTTATTGTTTGGTCACATGGTACAGATTAACCAATGGGATTGCAAGATTCTTAATAGAAGTATAACAATACATAACATAATGTAGCAGTTGACTAATAACTCAACGTGACCGAGAACTAAACCTGGAAATCTTGATCTTATATAACACAAAACACAATTTTTCTGAACACAAATCTTACTTGACAAGTGTGTGCCGCAAAAGACCTTTTGACAATCCTATACAGTTAAGTTTGAAAAACTCCCTGTTAGAACCCATGAAATTTAACACATCCAGCATCAGTGATCCCCTCAGCCATATGTCAACTTACGCTTTCTTCGCAGTCTTTTTCTTTTCAATTTTCTTCTTCTTTGTGTTATCTGGTTTAATTTCTGGATCCTCCTTGTAAAGTCGGACTCCATAGAAGTACCAGTAAATTCCTCCATTCTGGTCCCTACCCATCGGTTCCACCCGCAGGTTGTCGCCATCGAGTCCCTTCAATACAGACACATAAAAAGTGAGTGAGTGAGTGAGTGAGTTTGATTTTACGCCGCTTTTAGCAATATTCCAGCAATATCACGGCGGGGGACACCAGAAATGGGCTTCACACATTGTACCCCTGTCGGGATTCGAACCCAGGTCTTCGGCGTGACGAGCTAACGCTTTAACCACTAGGCTACCCGACCGCCCCAGAAGCATAATAGAGTCATGCAAACATGTCTTGAAGAAGTAGTCATCATATCATGTGTTTGTTTGTTTGTTGTTTAACACCGCACTCAATATTCCAGGTTTATGATGGCAGGCTGCAAATAATCGAGTCTGGACCAGACAATCCAGTGATTGAGATCACCAGCATGATCCATGCAATTGGGATACGATGACATGCATCAGCAAATCTGATCACCCGATCCTGATAGTCGCTTTTTATGACAAGCATGGTTTGCTGAAGACTAATTCTAACCCAGATCTTCACAGGTCTCATATCATGTGTGTTAGTTGTGTAAGAAAAGTGTCAGTGCTTGAGGTAGTTCAACAAAGAGGCCAACATCAACCTCATTTCAAGAAGGTCATCACGAGGCATGAGTGAGTTTGGTTTATGCCTCTTTGAACAATATTTTAGAATTTCATGGCATGTCAACTTGATGTGGGTGGAAAGCCCAAAGTGATGCAGGTCCGAGACATTTACCACTTTTAAGAAACCCACAAGCACAGGAAAGTTGCTGACAAACCCATATCAGGCCCAAACTGGGATCCACACCAATGACCATAAGCTTCAGGTACTTATAAAAGGGACGTAACTCTGCACAGTTAATTGCAGTGCCTTTGTCATCAGTATACTGACTCCGAGCCAACCAGTCCTTGTTTAAGCCCCTTAATGCCAAGCGCCAAGCAGGGTAACAACAAGTACCATCTTTTAACATCTCTGGGGTATAACAGGGCCAGGGATCAAACCTTGGACCTGCCACTTGACCACAGACGTGGTCACTACATTCTAAGGGTGAGCTAGTTATCTTGGTTTTAAAACCATCTTAAACACTGTTTCTGTTATTGGGCAAGTTATATTACGGCAGGTCGACTTAATAATGTTTACTACTTTGATGAAACCCTGAGCACAGGCATTGTTCTGACAAACCTGGAAACATAATCAGGGCTCGTCTGGGATTCAAACCCAAGGATTTTTTTTCTAAGGCAATTAAGGGAAGCAACTCTTCACAGCTCTTCCCACATCCAAGGTACAGTGTGCCTACAGTCTCCTCACCTTCAGAAGGTCCTGCACATCGTCAGCATCCAGTCGGAAGTCACACAAGGCCTGTAACAGCTCCAGTTTGGTGCGCACTGTGAGAACCTGGAAGCTGCACTCTGCCAGGGGGTTTATAATCTGTCTGTCCTTCTGCCACCTCTGCTTAAATATGTCCCTCAAATACACTTCAAAATTGTAGGACCTTAAATGAAAAGTGAGTCAATGCTAATTTATGCCTTAGTCAGAAATATTGCATCAATATCATGCAGCAAGAATCCATACAATCCACACACTAACACACAACCAGCCATATCACATATGGCGACTACCTTATACACATATTAGTTTGCTCTAGGTACATGGGATATACTGTCCTGGAATCCCCATTGGACTATAAATGAGGACAAACAATAGAATATGAAACTTAGATAAATGTCAGAGCAAATCGTCAGCTCTCCAAAACGTTCACTTTGAAAAGAGCTCTAAAATGATATGTACTCAAGAAGACAAAGAAATTCATTAAAGATACACTGACAACATAAATAAATAGCTTAATGAAGACAAAAAGACACAACTCTCCCAAAGAACTTCCAATACCATCAAAAACATCTCAGAATGAAACAAAGTTGACAGTCAACAGGATTACCTATGATTATGAAAACATACACAGAGACAATTTAAATCCAGTTCACATTCTTACTTGATATCATTTCTTCCATAGCATCCATTCAACAGCTGGGATATTAGATCACACATCAGCATACTTCCCTCGGGTGTCCCTGAGGCCAGAAGGGCTTCCTCCAGTTCCTGCAACACACAGTGAGTGTAGTACAACACGGCCTAACAGTATTTCAGTGATATCGCAGGATGTCGGCTTCATGTGGGATTAAAGTCTGAAGTGATGTAGATCTTAGACGTTTGGTGAACAACAAGCATGGGTATGGTGCTGACAAACCTAGGAACATTATCAGGTTGAATCTGGGATTCAAACCAAAGATTTTAGGATCCTGGCATGCCTAAGGGATGCAACTCTGCACAGTGACATAGAAATGGTGGTGCCTTGGGTAAATGAGCCACCTGTGACATCACAACATGCAGTTCATATAGTATCATTATAGGAAGGGAACACTCAACAAATTGGGTGGTACAAATTGTAGGGCTAGAGCACAACATACTGTGTGCTATGATATGAGTGAGTGAGTGAGTATGGTTTTACGCCGCTTTTAGCAATATTCTAGGAATATCACGGCAGGGGACACCAGAAATGGGCTTCACACATTGTACCCATGTCGGGAATCGAACCCGGGTCTTCGGCATGACGAGCGAATGCTTTAACCACTAGGCTACCCGACCGCCCCGTGCTATGATATGAGTATTGTACTGTGAAGTAATGAATTGATACAAATGAAGCAAGCATGCATAAGAGTCACGTATGACAACTATTTCTTTTAAATAATACTTTCTGGTAGCATGCATATGAGGATACTTTTTCATTGATGAACTCAATCTGCTAAATGTATATTGGTTGGGTTTTGATCATTCTCTTTTATGAAGATATATATCTATTGTGTCATGTATCACATTGCAATCTTACTTTCATATATTTGAATATCTATTTGTTACAATGTGTTCAGGTACAACCCTAGTACATCATGGTTATACTTCCATTCATCAGTACCGGTACTTATTGTGCAATTTTCTAAATATAAAAAATGGGAGGCATCACATCTACAATACACTGAATACAAGGGTTTCTTGTCATTAGATGAAACCTTTTCTTAAATACCAAAGCACTGAACATGCTGAAAGTTGTAAGAGTAAATAAGAAAACAGCATAAAGATATACATTGAAAGATTTTGTTATTCAATGTGATTAGTGTTTTGAAATCAGAACTGGTTAAAAATAAATGCAGCAAGGACTTGCTATATCAATTAATAATAACATAATAATGGAAACACTGCCATGGATGAGTCAACATGATCACTGCAGCTCACTTCCTGTGTTCATGGGACAAAAATGGGTGAAAGTATTTTTCGATAAGCAAGATCATGGTCTTGACAAAAACAAATTTTGTTCAAAAGACCTTTGAAACAGAAGCAGTATCAATATTACAAGACCCACAAAACATTTACTGGCACAGCTCATGGAAATCATGGCAAATATATAAATTGAAACCCGTTTCGAAAAAAATAATTCTCATGATGATGTCTACTATTTTGTGACCTTCCACTTGCGATAGCTTACATAAACAATGTTTAAATTAGTTAATTACCTTTGAAAAAAACAGTGTCATACTGACAATGGTAACTGATGGATTCCATTTCATCATACAGATAGTCATTACTAAAGACATTATATTCTTGTCAGGTAACTGTGGATGATATTTGGAAACTGGCAAAAGTAAGGACAAAATATTTTTTGCCTAAATTGACATCCATAAAATCCTACCAAGGGGCATAACTCTGTTAACCAAGCTTCTATTATGTCTCATTTAGTGATTATATGAGTGTTTCATCACAATGTCATTTTGGGGATGTAAACAAAAGCTGCCTGTGTGACATAATTCATCTGATAACACATAATAAAAAATATAAATGGTCCTTAATAAAAGGTATCCTTTTGGGTCCATTTGTAACAACACATATTTTGGATTCAAACAAAAACTGAGAAAACAAAAATCTAATAAAAGTGAAAATGTTTTTCTACTGAAGGCATTCTGATCAAAATCGTGATTAGAAAGAAAATATAATGAGCAATGTTATGACAGTTCTTGCACAAGGTAGCCTTCTATAAATAGAATGTAAAATAATTAATGCAACTCAAAATGCATTCGCTATTTGTGACAGGTTTGACCATTTCATCATCAAACCTTCTTTCTCAGGGAATCATTAAAAATATATTACCTCAATATCAAAATCAGGCAGGTCAAATGCAGCACGAAATAGAGAGCAAAAGTGGGCCACGCACGGAATTTCCCACCATTTGCGAATTTCTGCAATCAAAAAGAAACATGTCAATTTCCAGTTTCAGGTCATACACAATAAACATTCAAAATCGTCACGTATCAACACTTATTCAAACGAAGGCATCAAAGCTTACCATTCATGTCCTCTAAACTATACGTTGGTCCTTCATACGGTATTTCGACGTCTTCAGACGACACTTTCTCATCTGATACTTGTGTCTCTGTTGGCGACTTAACCTCGTCCGTGGCAGCTTCGGCTTCGTCGGAAATCAGTTCATTTTTCACCGCTGGGTCCGAGACGTCGGCCTCGGTCTCCATTTTCCCGGTTGATGGAGGCTTTGCAGAGTAGTTATACAGGAATAGGAATATCCTATGGATTCAGAAAGGTATGCATTCGTCAAATATACTGCTTCATTTGTCTCCTAGATCAGGAAACACTTTCAGCATTTTCCATCGGCGCATGTACGGTCGATCTCGTATCGCTTGACGAGACAGCATTGCATTCTGGGAGAAGGTGGTAAACACTTCCCGTGATGACTACTGTTAGTTATTAACGGCTTCTGATTGACCTACAGATTATAACGGATTGTTTTGATGGTTCTTTTTTTACAAATCAAATAAATTTAAGTAAAACATTTTGATTTGGGGGAAAGGGCTTTCCTATTCTTAAGTTAGGTTTTCCCAAAATCTTCTTTTATTTAGCAAACGCCCCTTGATTGGGGTGTTATAGAGAAAATGGCCCGAATTTTTGTTGTTGAATATGGTCTCAAATTTTGGAGAAAGTTAACGCAAATGTGGGAGAAATAAAACCAAAACAAATGGCTTCGTTACTTAGTTTACTTATTTTTAGACAATTAGTTAGACATATTTATTGATAGGCTGTTACTGATATTTGCGTCACATGGTCTGTGTGTCGCATGGTTTCCATCACAAACTCCCAACCCCAACGCTTCCTAACGTATTGCTCCATGGATGGCGCTGCACCCTTGCTGTAGGCTGGAGTATGTTATCTGCCCAGCCACGTACTGTTTCCACAAACGAAACAGCTGTCCACTTCTGTCCGACTTGTGAATGTGTGACACCAACATTCCTTCTGGTACCACCAGGATCTGTGTCGGAAGCTGCTTAATACACTTGTTGCCACGAACAGTCCTTTTAGCTGTGGTCAGGCTGATGCAAGTATAATACTTACTATATATACCCTTACTGTATGATCCTCACTAATCCTCACATTTCCAATAGTTCTAAAATTTCTAACCGCCCCCAAAAAATAACAATTAATACATGAGGCCAATTTGGGGCCATCGCTGTTCTGTATGTGTCAATGTCTCTGGCCTCTGGCTTTTTAAGTGACAATGGTTACAACTACTACTTGATAAACAAAACAACAATTCATAATATCAAATGGGAGACAAGGGTCTCGTGTAATAATTTTATATACTCACTAAGTTTTATTTCGGGCCACTTTCGGGTCAATTTTCTTCCATTCATGAAACCATTTGCTAAAAATATATGTGGCCATTTTGCTCCAAATTATCGGGGGCCATTGTGACCTGAACCCCTTGACTGGTTAACAACAACACGTTTTCTTCAGGGCAAACTCTTAATTTGGTTATCTCGTTCAAATCTAGCACAGCTGGATAACAAGACACATTTATCCAGTGCCATGCATATTGCACAAAACAAACAATTAGGGCGTAGGCAATAGACTGTGAAGTTAAGTTTAAAAGAAATGGAAATATTGACGGATTCCTGTAAGTTGTATTTCTAATGTTAGTGTTACACATAAAGATGATGCACATATTGGTGAGGTGACAACTGAACAATTATCGCAATCATTCTTATATATTGAATATTTATATTTTTCAAAATTATATTCAATGACTTATCTCGTCATATTCAGATTTATCCAGAATGGATTTTAATATACGGTAACCGTATCGAAAGGTTTTAAGCAATAGGATGGCCGTGTTAGTTTTAATTTAATGTCGATAATACGATGAATGTATATTTCACGATGTAGACACTATCTTATTTTGAAATTATTTATTGTTATTTTCTGTCATATCCTTGTTGTAGAATTGAAATGATTCAAAGAGAATTAAAGAAATCAAAACACACATACAGCAAGTGTAATATGACTTATTTCGATTTGTTCACATTTTAAAACTTCAATCCGAGCTACAGAGAAGTAGTTATTTTTAAATCATGCTGAAGAAATTATAGTTTATGTGTTTTTTAATGTTTCACATATATGTACCTGTATGCATTATTTATATCAATATGAAATTTGACACTGACGGTTACTCTCTGTGACGGGCACCTGTTGTTCCTTTGATAAACAGTCGTCATGTTGCTATCATCTTATCGCTAAAAATTTTACAAGATGGCGGTGAGTTGTTCAAGAACTTCTTAACTTGCGTTGGTTGTTCTATTATCAATGTGACACACAGTATGCATTATTTTTAGGTTGTAGTGTCCTTTGCTTGATTTGATTATTCCACAAGGTTCCCGCAACAGCCTATTGCTTAGTAGCTTCGAACAGGAGACAACCGTAAGTCTCGTAAACAAATTTGCTGATGACGAATTGTTTTGATAGTTGCATGAGGTTGGTGGAGCATTAATTTATCGTGTATAGAGTTGATATTGGCGTATTCTGAATTACGGTGTGTGGATTTTCTTGTGTACCTATCTCAGTCATAATGAGACATTTTATCGTCCAACAAGCCTTGATGCTCGGCTGAAATCCGGTAACGAAATGATGAGAAACCAACCAGTGATAGCAATATGATCTGCCAATATTACCCTGGTAATGGCACCAGGGTGATCAATTAATGACACTAAAAATAGTTTACAACTGCCATGTAACATATTCCAACACATGGCATAGTTTCCTTTCGTTTTGAAGCCATAATGACATCATTTGATCAACATGTTTTGATCCTATTGCCCCAGACTATTTTAATATCCTGGACTAGAGTCACAGCATTAGGGAAACTGAACATGCCAGGACATTGAATTATGTATTTGCAAGAATGTTTTCAGAATTTTGGATTTTTATAAGTGGTGAATATGCAGATGAGTTAAAGAATTGTTTTTGTTTCATTGTAAAAAAACATTGATGAGTTGTTTACTGATTCTGAAATTGGAGAAAGGCCATTTTTAGGTTCCCCTAGCCCTGCAACCCTATGCTACAGCAATACAGGTTAATCTTTTTAACTTAAGGCAAGAGATATCTTTATGAATAAGTTTTCTTAAACATCGTTAAATGTGACTGGTGGTGTGGATTGTTATCTATATACAGAAGTTAGAAGTAGGAAACCATTTGTAAACATCTAGCAAAATTCAAACAGGAAACTGAAAGTATCTTTGTAACTAGATCCAGATCTAGTAATCAGGTCTCCAGATAAACACTGGGTTGTTTCCCACATGTTATCATTCACATTAGGTATTGATGGTTTTCTGAGTATTCAATATAGTTTTACTCCCTTGGGACCAGTCTGTTGGATAGTTTTAAGCCAATGAGTAGACATTTCTTTTGATATAATCCTGCATAAAATGCTGTTTCAGGTGACTTCTAATTTGCATCTGTTCGTGTGCTGACCCACATGGGTCAAATTTCGCATACATAAGGTCCAATAAGTGAGACGGATCTGTTCACTGCAGTTTCAGTGTGTATAAGTTAATAAAAATCTGTAAGAATAGTACTTTTTAAAGAAGTAAAGGTGTGCAATATGAAAAGGCTACATTGGATAATAAAGCACAGTGTTGTTATGGTATTGGGTTTTTAAAAAATTTCATGTTTATTTGTATGTAAGCAACCCAAAGTAAATAGTGACATATTTACATATTTCGCTCAAATAGGCAGCTTATCTGGAGCTCAGTTGAAACTATGAGTATTCCATCATGGGATTAATCGGGTTATAGCGAAAACGGCACCTCAGCAAAACGTCACCGGGCGAAAACGGCACCGATTGGCGAAAACGGCACCTCGACTCGAGCGAAAACAGCACCTTATTATTATTTTTTTACCTTGGTCAAATAAATGATATTAAACTTACATTGTATCTTGCAAGCGCCAATAATTGTGAGATGTTAAAACAAGTTTACATTAGATACATTAGTGTAAATACATCTATGTAAATAAACCATATATATTACTACAAAAATCGTTGTTATCGTTATTAAAAATAGAGGTGCCGTTTTCGCCCGACTCATAGTAGCCGTTTTCGCCAAATGCGGTGCCGTTTTCGCCAGAGAAATCGGTGACGTTTTGCTGAGGTGCCGTTTTAGCCTGCACCCGGATTAATCTATGCTTTTCAGTTCCTGTGACAGGCAAATTGTAAAACAATACATTATTATTATACCAAACTTGAATTGTTTCTTTAGTGCTTAATTTCTTAAACTCAGTGGCATTTTTCTCATAATTTTCCATGTTTTATAAGTTTGAACTGTGAGAACATATATTAATAAAACCATTCAAAATCAAATGCGGGATTGCATTTAAGACATATTGTCATGATTGTTTTGTATTGTGTATATTTAAGTAGGTGATACAAAACATGATAAACCAAATTAACTTCACATCATGCATGTCTGGGATTTGCACCATAATGGAGGACAGAGTAAGATTGGAGAGCGTAGAGGAACAATCAGTTTATGATCCAAATTAAAAAGTCAGGATAAAATTATTAAACAAGAATTCATACACCCAAGACACAACACAGATGGGTTGCACAACAGGTGCACTAGCTGCACCACAAACTTTTCTGGAAAGTAAAAAAACAAGACATGTTCTCAGACCATGTCAGTTTAATTATTATACAACATATCTGTCAAAGAGGGATTTGATTTGTCTAGCTTGTATATAATGAAGATTACTGATCTATAGTGTACATTGCCAATCTTCTCTGTATACAGGTTAGCCAATCAAATCCCTGTAATTATTTACAGTGGTTCGATGCTCATGATATCAACCACTGGATTGTTTGGTCCAGACTCATTTATTTACAGACCGCCGTCATAAAGCTGAAATATTGCTGAGTGCGGCGTTAACAACAAACAAACCAAACCAAATCATTATTTACATCCAGGCTGTAGTGTACATACTCATTTTGAATTGATATTTTTCACAGCACAGTCTTGAATGGAAGTTCCCAGTTTGAAACTTGTGCCGTAAAGCTTGAGAAAGCTGATTTCTGTTTGGCTAATGTTGATTTCTTGTTTGCCTTTTCATTGGTCGGTCAAAGTTCGCGAAATGTCTTCCTGACGAGACCTGTAAAGGGGTAGTTCTCAGATCTACAGAGCTCCAGATAAGCTGCGTATCTGCGTGAAATATGCATCAGAAATGCAGAAATACACAGTAAAATATAATCCAAGCGTATCAAATACGCAACGAACATTACAGATACGCTACAAAAATAAAACTTGTGCGTATCATCAAAATATTGTGAAGTAACCCTGCGTATTCGATTAGCAAATCAGCAACTTATTTTTAAATTATAAACCGGCATTCCGTCAACCTTGCCAAACTCCACGATGACAGTTACATCATGATCATTTGCCATCACACTTTCTTGTGGAAGTATCGTGGTATTTTTGAGTCCTATAAAGCTCTCGAACCCACACGACACCAGTTTGCAGGGACTAGATGAATAGTGTTTTTAAATATTTAACTTTAATACCCACATTTGTAAAAACTAGTGGGTAACAGAAATTTGAATACGCAGATAGAATTACTGATACCCAATGATTTTAAGATGCATGGGTAAAATACCCACAACACCAAAAGCTTATCTGGAGCTCTGGATCTATGTGTAGCCGTAGCAAGAGTTTGGACCTTATTCTATTGAGATCGAGTTCTGTTCAATTCAGTGTTAAACCCAACTGACACTAAATATGTTTATGTGTTGCAGGTGCAGACAATGAGTTGTCAGCTTCTCTTTGTACAGTCAGCCCTGCCTTGATGAAGTGAGAGTCCCACCAGTATCAGAACATTGAAGCCTGCTACAGCAGCTGAGCTAGCAGTGCCCACAATGGACCCAAACCCCTGGAATTACAACCAGGCCTACAGCAGAATCAGCTCGGGCAGTCTCCCTGCTAGTCATGGAGGCATCAATCGACTCGACTTCCCCCTCCTCGACCAGGCCACGCTCAGTTCAGGTGGGTTCACAGCATTAGAAACTAACAATATAATGTTAACATTTATAAGTTTCTAATAGTCCTAATGATACCTTAACTATTGGGCAGTTTGGCAAGGACTACGGGACTAGTGCGAATTTCTAACACTGGTTCATCTCATGCAGCAAGACCCCGTTGGGATTCTGGAGTGGAAAATGTCCCCAGCAAGCTGTGCTGGCTACTAAATGGATAAGGTGGTCCACATCACCTCCGTGGTTGATTGTGTGTCACTTCCCCAATGGAGTGGGATGTACTCATGATATCAGTCATTGGATTGTCTGGACCTGTTCCACAAAGTTATATAAGCGTTAATACTGTTGTAAGCCTTTGTTAAAGTATGGGAGTTACTATCACCTTAGCGCTAAGATGGCATTGTGGAATCCAGGTTTGATTATTTATAGGCCGCTATTATGTGGCTGAAATATTAGTGAGTGCAGCATTAAATAACAATCAAAACATAAATCAAGGTACCATATTCAAGACCCTTTGGGGAACCGAATTAGAATATGTCCCCAGCACTCTTATTGTTTGTCATGAATGTAAAACCCTCAAAAGTTGATTGTTGAGGAAGTTATTTCTGATTTGTCATTTAAAAACATACCAATGAAGTCTATAGTTTTGGATTGTTTGTTTCAGGTTTTGGCCTCTCACCATCTCTGTCCCCCCATGCCAACCTGACATCCCGGTCCCTGGGTGGTCTGTCGGGGGTGAATTACCCTGGCCACCCTCTGCACACCACCATGCCACAGTTCCTGGACCCCATGGCACCATTGCAAGCCTCCTTCTCAAGCCAGCCCACATACAAACCAATGTCCATGGGGCAGAACCCCTTCCCGTTTGACAGCCCGGGACGATCCTCATCAGAGATCCCTGTCACTTACTCTCCCGCTCGCTACTCGACGGGGACACCTAGTTTGTCAGCACACACCAAATCCCCTCTGTTTTCTCCACAAGAACTGACATCTCCGAAGGATCTGGTAACATCTTTTGCAGCATCCTCTCAAAGTCTTGCTGCTGAGACAAGCCCGAAAGGCTGGGGATTATCTAACTTCCTCCCAACACCAACAACACCATTTGGAAACATATCGGATGCTCTGCCCAGCGACTTTGGCTTGACTCTTCCTCAACCTCAGCAGACACCTCCACCAGCACACAGCTCGGGCAGCCGTATTAACCCAATCCAGAGGAATCCATACACAGCAGACATGTTATTTGCTGAAAGTACCCGACCAGTCAAAAATCCCCAACCCCTCCACTCACCAAGAGATCCGTCACCCTTCACCAGCGTAAGCAGCAGTAACTATGGGCGGCTCTCAGATGCTATCCAGTCCCCCAAGACCAGCCTGCCAGGCCAAACACCTCACAGTTACACAGCCTCACCACCGGAGATTGAGGACCTGTCCTCCCACTCACAGACTCACCCCATCTATAGCTCCTATATGTCCACATCTTACAATTCTATACCATCCGGCAACCCTGTGTATAGTTCTTCTCAGCTACAACAGGACATGGACTACGATCCTGTCAGCCCAGCTACACCTTTGTCTGAGGCCCCTCAGCCTAATGACAACCCATTCACCACTGTCTCACTGCAAGATCTGGCGGCACTGGGCACAGCACAGAGTCCAGTCCACGAGAAACCTCACCAAAGAGAAACGAATCGAGACAATATTTTAAGTCGTGAAAGTGTTCTTCTTCATCAAGAGAGTATGTTGCATGCTTCCCTTGAAAAATCAAATAGAATGTCTAAAGAATCCGCCCATGTCCAAAGCTTACCATCTCACATGACAATGCAGCACACATCACCTGGAATCCACAACGGGCAGAACATACAGAACGCTGCCAGTCCAATGCAGCAGTCGCCTATCAGTGTTGGGAGCCCTCAGATTCCCATGTCTGTGTCCAGCCCTCAGGTTGCCATGCCGCTCGGGAGTCCCCAGAGTCTCATGCCCAGCTCCACTGTTGTGCAGGCTCCCCCGCCAGTTCAGGCAATGGCCGATTCTACAACGAAACCAAAGCGGGGAGGAAGAGGAAGCAGAGGGGGAAGGGGCGTTGGAGGAAGAGCAAGGAGGAAGAAAGATGAGGAGAATAATTCCTTTATGGGAGAGATCCAACAGCCTCCTATATTTGCCAATGAAATTGCTCAACATCAACAGGCACCTCGTCAGCCACATCCAGCATACAGTGACATGGGGCACTCAGCTTACCGACCAGACAGCCGTCAGCCGGAGATGAACCAGACCTTCCTGCACTCCGACATGGGCGTGGAGCCCACTCTAACTCAAGGCCTTCAGAGACAGATGTCTGCTGGACAGACAGAACCCATGCAGAGATCGCCCCTGGAAGAGAGTCTGGTCAGTGTGCAGCAGCAACAACAGCAGTCCATTCAGGACCAGATGACGCATAGGACCATGACAATGTCGGAAGATCTGCTGAGTCGTCATTCCTCCATGTCGTCTCTGAACAGTGGCCATCAAGCATCACCAATGCAGGAAGCTCTGTCCATGAACCACCAGCCTACCTACTGTGACAATATGGTGAGCGTGCAGCACTCCTCACCCCTCACCAACCCATCACCACCGAACCAGATGACGGTGGACAGTTCCCATGTTGTCCGAAACACAGACAGTTCCAGTATGACGAGCCACTCTGCTCTCTCCGACTCTTCTATTGATCAAAGAGGCTCGGTGCTCAGTGCTGTCAGAGAGACTGATGCCATCATGTCAGGGGCTGACCAGTACAACATCAACGGATTTGTGGACACTCCATTCATGGATCAACTGGCAGACACGCCCCAAGCTGTGACCCAGCCAATGAACTACCAGCAGCAAGGTCACATGACCATGATGGACAAGAATATCATGTCACCAGATATGAACAATCCCAACTCATTTCAGGATGCAATGAATAATGGCATGCACATGTCCCAGTTCGGAAGTACGTTTCAAATGCCCCAGGAACAGCACCATCTGGCCAGTCTGGACATGAACGCAGTTAGCCAGGCTGGGTCGACCATCGATGAGGCCACTTTTTCCAGTCTATTTGGTTCGCCGCATAGTTCTGAAAAGGGACGGCGCAGGACCAAAGCTGAGCAGAAGTTGATGCCAATTGTTACCCCAAAGGTTGATGAAGATGATGAGCTGGCTCACTTGGCGTTGCCTCCGCCAGCCGCCAGTGATCCTATTTCCCAAGGGAATGAGGAAGTGAGGGTCAGGAAATCTTTTGGGAGTTCCTTCCAGGACTGCTTTCTCAACTATCTCATGGGGAAGAAGCAGGAGACTCTGGAGAGTCTCAGTAGTGCTACTATACATAAGAAACCACAGCTGCCAAAGTACTTCCCAGAGCCTAGGAGACCAAGGCCTCCATCACCACCCAAGAAAGATTCCAAACGGTCCAGCGGATCATCTGATGAAGGTTCGTTCTCGGGGGTCGGCTTCTCGGACAGTGATAGTAGTGAAGAGAGTGTAGCTAAGACAGTTCAAAATGTGATTTCTCAAATGAGTGATGATGACTCCAAGGACAAAGTGAAAAAATCCAAAGATTTGACAATTAGAATTTCTGTGCCATCTTTGAAAAAGTCCCCCCGTAGCGGGAGAGTGCGAGGTGCTAAAGCAACAAAGGCCCGGGGCTCTCGGGGGTCGAAGGTGAAAGGGAAGGGTGGTGCGGAGGTCGTAGACGGCACCCACCCTGCTGGGGAGGTTCCGCCAGCTGTAGAAGTGCCTGTCATCCAACCCAGAGAACGTATTTCGAGGAGGGCCAAGGAGAAGGCACTGCAGAAGAAAAAGAGTAAGTTTACAGACCTTGTATCCATGAAGTTCGCAATGGTAAAATATTCCAGGGGGTTACTTGCACAATTCACCAGTGGATTGTTTGAATAACCATACAGCCTTTGAAATTCATGCTAGCCCTCTAGCCCATGACGACTAAATTGTGAAGATAAATAATAATCAAATAAAGGTCGTCCTCATCGACTAGTAGCATTTGAGGGCTTTAATTCTGAACCACTTTTCAATGCTTTAATTTTGCTACAACTGTGAAAATGACAGAATATGTAAACAAAGTAAACATGTTTGGTTGAAAAAGAATTTCTAAGGCTGTCATGCTTGGTGTTCATGTGGGGAAAACAATTCTTGTGTTAAGAATCCCTTAAAAAATCATCCTTGATCATCTAGTATATTATATCTCCATTCTGGTGTGTTAGCCCCATCCACCACCATAGCTTCATTTTGAGACCAGTTTGAATGACATGAGGGTATAAATAGTCATCCACTAAGGAAGGATCTATGCCCAACTCTCATTCAGAAGACAGTTTCATTGGTTGTTAATTTCAAGCATATCAGAGAGAAAGTCTGTGCTCAGTAGGTGATAAGGGAGACTGTTCTGTTGTGCTTGTTTGTTGTTTAATGGCGCACACAGCAATATTCCAGCTGTATGACAGTGGTCTGTAAATAGTTGAGTTAAACATCAAACGAGGCAGATTGAATGTTCTGTACTTTGTGAGACAGTTTGACTTTACCTGAGGTAACAAGTATATCACTTCCAGGAGCCATGTACTCTTCCTCTCCAACATTATACCACTAAAAGGGGATACAACCCTCGTAGACCCCCTTCACATCTCATATATATCACTGTTGTAAACAAATGACTGATCAATTGCAAAGAATATATAATTCTTAAGGTACTTAGTGATAGGCACCAACTACATATACCTTAACACTTACTGCCTGCCTGCCACAATTAGGAGAGCCTGTCATGTGTAAGACACATGCCAGGGATTTGTCTAGGATTCTAATCTAAATGCCCTGGCAGGTAAATATAAAAAAAATATATATATATATAAATTATGTTGTTCAAAATTGGGTTTTTTAATATTTTCTCACTTTAGAGGCTGGCCTATTTTGCCATTTTCTTGTGAGTCTGCATTCAATGCAATGATATATAACTGAGAATTTCATCCTCTTCCTAATTTGTCTTACCACCCCTTAGTAATTAAATTGGGAAACTTTTAATTACATTGAAAAGTGGCATTAAAATGAAAGTCACTCACTCCCCAGTGGACCCGTGAAGATCCGGTGTAGAATAGGCCTTCAGCAACCCATGCTTGCCGTAAAAGGCGGCTAACGGTCGGGTGGTCAGGCTCGCTGACTTGGTTGATGCATGTCTTCGATCCCAATTGTGTGGATTGATGCTCATGATGTCAATCACTGGATTGTCTGGTCCAGACTTGATTATTTACAGATCGTCATCATATAGCTGGAACATTGCTGAGTGCAGTGTTAAACAACAAACAAACAAACACTCCCCAGTGGGGATCCTTGTTTAGAATTGGTCTTCAGCAGACTGCTGGTCATAAGAGACAATTAATGGTTCGTGTGTTCAGACTTTGTGACTTGGTTAATTGTGTGTCATCGTACCAGACAGTACGGATCATAACTCACAATATTAATCACTGGATTGTCTGGTCCAGGGTCAATTATTTACAGGCCGCATCATGTAGCTGGAATGTTTGGGCGTGAGGCGTTAAACAGCAAACACATTGACACACTCACTCACTCAACTACCATAAAAGGCCAGGAGACAATTATAGGAGCCAGGTGAAGCCGTGCCTAGTCAGTAAACAGCAAACACACCGACACACACACACACACACTCACTCACTCACTCACTCACTCACTCACTCACTCACTCACTCACTCACTCACTCACTCACTCACTCACTCACTCACTCACTCACTCACTCACTCACTCACTCACTCACTCACTCACTCACTCACTCAACTACCATAAAAGGCCAGGAGACAATTATAGGAGCCAGGTGAAGCCGTGCCTAGTCAGTAAACAGCAAACACACCGACACACTCACTCACTCACTCACTCACTCACTCCACTACCATAAAAGGCCAGGAGACAATTATAGGAGCCAGAGGAAGCCGTGCCTAGTCAGTAAACAGCAAACACACCGACACACTCACTCACTCACTCACTCACTCACTCACTCACTCACTCACTCACTCACTCAACTACCATAAAAGGGCAGGAGACAATTATAGGAGCCAGGTGAAGCCGTGTCTAGTCAGTAAACAGCAAACACACCGACACACTCACTCACTCACTCACTCACTCACTCACTCAACTACCATAAAAGGGCAGGAGACAATTATAGGAGCCAGGTGAAGCCATGTCTAGTCAGTAAACAGCAAACACACAGACATACTCACTCACTCACTCACTCCACTACCATAAAAGGGCAGGAGACAATTATAGGAGCCAGGTGAAGCCGTGTCTAGTCAGTAAACAGCAAACACACCGACACACTCACTCACTCACTCACTCACTCACTCACTCACTCCACTACAATAAAAGGGCAGGAGACAATTATAGGAGCCAGAGGAAGCCGTGTCTAGTCAGTAAACAGCAAACACACAGACACACTCACTCACTCACTCCACTACCATAAAAGGGCAGGAGACAATTATAGGAGCCAGGTGAAACCGTTTTAGTCAGTAAACAGCAAACACACAGACACACTCACTCACTCACTCACTCACTCACTCACTCACTCCACTACAAAAAAAGGCCTGGAGACAATTATAGGAGCCAGAGGAAGCCGTGTCTAGTCAGTAAACAGCAAACACACAGACACACTCACTCACTCACTCCACTACCATAAAAGGCCAGAATTCAATTATAGGAGCCAGGTGAAGCCGTGTCTAGTCAGTAAACAGCAAACACACAGACATACCCACTCACTCACTCACTCACTCCACTACCATAAAAGGGCAGGAGACAATTATAGGAGCCAGGTGAAGCCATGTCTAGTCAGTAAACAGCAAACACACAGACACACTCACTCACTCACTCACTCCACTACTATAAAAGGCCAGGATTCAATTATAGGAGTCAGGTGAAGCCGTGTCTAGTCAGTAAACAGCAAACACACAGACATACTTACTCACTCACTCACTCCACTACCATAAAAGGCCAGGATTCAATTATAGGAGTCAGGTGAAGCCGTGTCTAGTCAGTAAACAGCAAACACACAGACACACTCACTTACTCACTCCACTACCATAAAAGGCCAGGATTCAATTATAGGAGCCAGGTGAAGCCGTGTCTAGTCAGTAAACAGCAAACACACAGACACACTCACTCACTCACTCCACTACCATAAAAGGCCAGGATTCAATTATAGGAGCCAGGTGAAGCCGTGTCTAGTCAGTAAACACTCACTCACTCACTCACTCACTCACTCACTCCACTACCATAAAATGGCAGGGGACAATTATAGGAGCCAGGTGAAGCCGTGTCTAGTCAGTAAACAGCAAACACACAGACACACTCACTCACTCACTCACTCACTCACTCCACTACCATAAAAGGGCAGGAGACAATTATAGGAGCCAGGTGAAGCCGTGTCTAGTCAGTAAACAGCAAACACACAGACACACTCACTCACTCACTCCACTACCATAAAAGGGCAGGAGACAATTATAGGAGCCAGGTGAAGCCGTGTCTAGTCAGTAAACAGCAAACACACAGACATACTCACTCACTCACTCACTCACTCACTCACTCACTCACTCCACTACCATAAAAGGGCAGGAGACAATTAAAGGAGCCAGGTGAAGCCGTGTCTAGTCAGTAAACAGCAAACACACAGACACACTCACTCACTCACACACTCACTCACTCACTCACTCACTCACTCACTCCACTACCATAAAAGGGCAGGAGACAATTATAGGAGCCAGGTGAAGCCGTATCTAGTCAGTAAACAGCAAACACACAGACACACTCACTCACTCACTCACTCACTCACTCACTCACTCACTCACTCACTCCACTACCATAAGAGGGCAGGAGACAATTATAGGAGCCAGGTGAAGCTGTGTCTAGTCAGTAAACAGCAAACACACATACATACTCACTCACTCACTCACTCACTCCACTACCATAAAAGGCCAGGAGACAATTATAGGAGCCAGGTGAAGCCGTGTCTAGTCAGTAAACAGCAAACACACAGACACTCACTCACTCACTCCACTACCATAAAAGGGCAGGAGACAATTATAGGAGCCAGGTGAAGGCGTGTCTAGTCAGTAAACAGCAGACACACTCACTCACTCACTCACTCACTCACTCACTCACTCACTCACTCACTCACTCACTCACTCACCTCACTACCATAAAAGGGCAGGGGACAATTATAGGAGCCAGGTGAAGGTGTGTCTAGTCAGTAAACAGCAAACACACTGACACACTCACTCACTCACTCACTCACTCACTCACTCCACTACCATAAAAGGGCAGGGGACAATTATAGGAGCCAGGTGAAGGCGTGTCTAGTCAGTAAACAGCAAACACACAGACATACTCACTCACTCACTCACTCACTCACTCACTCACTCACTCACTCACTCACTCACTCACTCACTCACTCACTCACTCACTCACTCACTCACTCACTCACTCACTCACTCACTCCACTACCATAAAAGGCCAGGAGACAATTATAGGAGCCAGGTGAAGCTGTGTTTAGTCAATACAATGGTTTCTTGCTACCCATTCTCTACCTTGTTTCTATATCCAACATTTCTGTACCTGGTGCAGAAGTTTCCAAACCTGGTGTTACAGAGCCTTCTGACGCCTCGTCCAGCAGCAGCTCGGATGACGAGAACATCAAGAGTATCACCAAAGAGGAGTCGGAGAAGGATTACGATTCTGATAAAGACCCTGCCTGGACACCGTTTGAAGTTGTGAGTAGTGTAGACGGGAGTAGTTGTCAGTCTCAGGACATAACAGCTTGTGAGTAGTGCGACTACCTCAGAACTTGCTTCTAATCGTTCCTGACGTCACAGACATTTATGAAAAGGTGAAAGATACCTTGATGTATAGCTTATGTCAATTAAAATATGTACAAAAAATACAAAATTAAGTGGTGCCCTTGAGGTTTTTCCTGTATACTTGAATAGAGAGTCCCCTAAACTTGCAAAAGTCTCTAACTTTTGACATTTGGGTTGTGACAAGGACTTCATGTCAATTTTCAAAACTGAAACCTAAAAATTATTCATTTTGGAAAAAGTAAATTCTTTTCCTATTTTGTACAATATGAAACCAAAAAGGACTAACGATTGGAAATGCAGCATTGCTGTAAACTTTGCCCCAGCTAAATAATGCTAGGTGAGCTGCAGGGCGTGTTTGCTTTGTTTCTGTGACTAACTTGTCACATGATGTCTGAACACGTCTGGTTTTTTTGCAGGATATCAGGCAGCCTACGTATGATGATACGATGTTAGACAAACCAAAACGTCTGCGGAGAATATCAGCAAAAGGCCGGACACAGTAAGTCATGTGACCTGAATCTTATGCCTGCTTCCTGACAATGACAGCTCTTTATTTAGTCAGTCTCCCGCGGTTGTGGTTATCCTGTGATAACATACTGTAAACTACGTTCATAACGAACACGCTTATAACGAACTGACGGATATAACAAAAAGTGTTTTGATCCCGTCCATTTGTTGTATATATGCTGTATATATGCCTATAACGAACTACGGTTATAACAAACTAAAATTTGTGGTCCCTTTGAGTAATAACCGTAGTTTTCTTTAGATAATGTTAACTGAAAATCTTTTCAGTCTAATTAGTTTTTCAAATTTTTACCACTTTCTGTATTAGGTCATCACCCCAAGTTAAATAAATAAGGCAATAGTTGTGTTTTTGACAAAATGATAACTGATCAGTTTACCTGTTTAGTGGCAGTTTACTTTGGAGTGTCATTACTGGTCAAACAACGTCTTGAACAGCCCTGATATGCACACCTTTTCTCTTTTTCTTTTCAAGTCCATTGATGTTTTCCAGACGATCTCGAAATCGAAGCGCAGGTCAGAGGAGACCCTCAGACGTGCCCCCCGATCTGACCCCAGCAATGTCTCCTCCCAAGGTCGCCAAGTTCTCTCCCCTTGACACAGGCAGTGTCACAGCGGGGACACTTCTGTCAAAGACAAACAGTATCACCTCTAATCAGGATTCTGAAGATTTCATGGTGTGTACTCCAAGAAACCTGACAATATTCATGGGCATTGCTTTTAGATTACTTCAAGATAGTGTGTGTTGCCAAGAGCTTTCTAGCAGTTTGACATTTTGCCCTTTGCAAATTTCTTTTCAAGATCTAAAGTAAATTATACATTGACAGAAGCACCACCATGCAATATGTGCCATGGCTTTGTATGTCTATAGGCCTGTGGCCTTAGAGCCTATATCGCCATGCAGAGTTGCGTCCCCTGGACACGCCAGAAACCTATGATTGTTGGTTCGAATTCCGGTTCACCCCGATTATGTTTCTAGGTTTGTCAGCACCATACCCGTGCTCGTGGGTTTCACCAAAGTGGTAAGACCTGCATCACTTCGGGCTTTCCTCCCACATTAACTGACACGCCGTGATATAACTGAAATACTGTTAAAAAGCGGCGTTAAACCCAACTCACTCACTCACTCATTCACCTTAGAGCCTATAAATAAATTCATCATTATATATATATGCTGCCTCAACAGGATGCTTGTACAGGCTGTTATGGTGGTTATTGACCAGCACCATTACTGGTGTGTAGATATTATAAGGTGATAATTGTGCTTCATTGTATTTTGATGCTAATCTTTCCTCACACCATCGACCACTGATTAATGTGGTTCATGATTGACTATTTTACCTATTTGCTGACCTTGGTGCTGTGCTGGCCATTGTCATGTGGCTGAGAGTTAAACATGATTCCGTCACTCAACATTTCCTTGATGTAGAATTATACTACTCAAAAGAAGTTAAGGAACAGCTGATTCTTTCATAATGCTATGGTCAATGTGTCATGCCATGGTAGACTACCCCAAGAACTATAGTAATATGAAAGAATCGGGTGGTCCTTAACTTCTTTCGAGTAGTATACTTCTTCCTTGAATGTATCGACAGGCGAGGCAGGTGGAACTGTCCTCACATAGACCATGGTGGAGAAGACCCATTGCTGACTATTGACAACTGTAACATTTGAATATTTCAGATAGGGAAGTTTATTCTTGAGAAGAAGGATATGCATAATTATGAGAGCTACCCTATCTGGAAGATTGAGCAGGGCAGGATGATCCACAAGTACGAGATCCTCTCGGAGGATGGCAACATCCGGCACAAAGCCGTATCAACAGTGAGTACAGTACAACAGTTGTAGCTGTGGATCTCCAGCATCAGTCTTGGAAATAAGCATGAAAGTCAAATGGTTTTCTCCATAATCCTAAATCACAGATCACAGATGGCCAAGTCCTCTAAGTCACCACATGTCACTGTGCAGAGTTGTGTCCCTTTAAACATGCCAGAATCCTATGACCATGGTTCGAGTCCCAGATTTGCCCTGGTTATCTTTCTAGGCTTCTCACCACTATACCTGCCCTCATGGATTTCAGTTAAGTGGTAGACTTTGGCCTTTCCTTCCAGATGTAGGTGGCTTTGTATAACTGAACTGCCTCCCTTGTCTAAGTGGTAGAGCGTCCGCCCAGAGTGCGGTAGGACGGGGGTCGTGCCAAAAGACGTTCAAAGATGGTACTTGTTACCCTGCCTTGTGCTGGGCATTAAGGGGCTAAAACAAGGACTGGTCGGCTCAAAGTCTGTATACTGTGTCTGAGTGGGGTATTCATGTTAAACTGCGGCATGGTATCTTAGTGGGCTAGCACTATAAACTTAGCACTAGTCCAGACGAGTACAGCAATCCACACACACTTGCATGCACGTCACTAAATAAGCCCAGTTATCTTGAACGCGATGTTAAACCCTATTTCAACTCACCTGATGTCACTAAAAAACTGACTTACTGTATGAACAATGAACTTTTAAATATGACAACATTTGGGATCCTGGGTTCAAATGGGTCCCCAGCAACCTATGCTGGTTGTAAGAGCCGACTTAATGGATCGGGTGGTCAGACTCAGTCACTTGGTTGATTGCACGTCATCTTTTCTCAACGACTTGAATCCTTGCTCATGATATCAATCGCTTGGTTCTGTGGCCATCACATAGCAAGAACACAGCTAGCTGACTGCGTGCATTAAGCAATTAAAACTCAGTATGCCAAAATTTCTTCATTTCCAGTATTCTAGTTGGATGCCAACTATGCGAGACCAGTTCGTGCCAATCAAAGTGAAGCTTATATCCAGTCGGGACGCGGTGGAAATTGTTGAGGTGACCGAAGAGTATCGACCTAAGCCCCCTACAGATGGCAGGTGGGTAGTTTGTTGGACAGTGTATTGCCAAAACCATTGCATTGCAATACATTGTGATACAGGTATCTGTGGGTAGTTTGTTGGACTGTGTATTGCCCAAACCATTGCATTGCAATACATTGTGATACGGGTATCTGTACTGCGATACATATTGTGATATATTGGGAGCTAAAGTGTGTAGTCTTTGCCATGGATACAGTTGAGATAACAGCGTGAGTGAGAAATTAATTCTGCCTTTCTGCTGTTTTGTCAATCAGTTTGGAAGGGACATTTCTGTAGGTTAAACATTACAAATTACCAATATATATTGCAATACGTATCACTTGAAAGGGGTGTTGCAGCATACCGATAATACTGTACAGCCCTAGGGGTTTTTACTGCATCTTTGTAGTAATTGTGGCGTAAAAACATTTTTCGCTCTCTCAACTGTCCACATCTGATGCAAGGAATCCTGTCTGAACTGCAAGGGGCGGTCGGGTAGCCTAGTGGTTTAAGCGTTCGCTCGTCACCCCGAAGCCCCGGGTTCGATTCCTGACATGGGTACAATGTGTGAAGCCCATTTGAGGTGTCCCCCGCCGTGATATTGCTGGAATAATGCTAACAGCGGCGTAAATCCATACTCACTCACTCACTCTGAACTCACTCTGAACTCTGAACTGCAAGGGGTTGAGATCTGTGACTTTGTTTTGTTTCAGCTTGGAGACGAAGTATGAAGATGATCCTCTGGTTGACTTGTTCAACGTGTACCTGCAGATCTTTCTCAGCCAGGCTCTGGAGCCCGGCTTCCTCAGTGCAATCACAGATGCCCAAGGTCAGTACACCAGGGGGGGCACAGGTGGCCCAGTCGTCTAACGCGCCGCAATTCGCTGTGCAGTGTTGCATCCCTTGGGCACGCCAGAAACCTTTGATTGTGGGTTCGAATCCCGGTTCGCCCCGATTATGTTTCTTCGTTTGTCAGCACCATACCCATGCTCGTGGGTTTCACCGAAGTGGTAAACGTCTGAGACCTGCATCACTTCGGGCTTTCCTCTCACATTAAGCTGACACGCCGTGATATGACTGGAATACTGTTAAAAGCGGTGTTAAACCCAACCCAACTCACTCACTCACTCACTCACTCACTCACTCACTCACTCACTCACTCACTCACTACACCAGGGAGCGCACAGGGCTTGACTTGACCTTGAAAATGAACATGACTTAAGGAGAGCTTGAAATACTCCCTACACATAATTTTTTTAAACTATTATATACAAAATATAACCGCCTTCTGATTACCTGCGGATGTATTGAATATTGCTCCATGATAACGAGTAATTTAAACTTTGTAGCTTATTTTACATACAGTGTTTCTGTAATCATTGCTTGAATTACGAGTGTTCTACTAAATGAATGTGATTGCGATCCGGGATAATATTTGCCTTGAATTTGACTACAAGAGCCTTGACTTTGGCTACATGTGCCTTGAATCTGTTGAGGGCGAACCGTGTGCACTGCATGACATACTTAACACCCAGGAACAGTTCCCAGTCCACAGACTATGTATTTCTCCCACGATAAAGGAGGTGGGGTGGCCTAGTGGTTTAAGTGTTTGCTCATCACGCCAAAGGTACGGGTTCGATTCCCAACCTCGGTTCAATGTAACAAGCAGCCTGTTTGTGTTGTCCATGTGCCATGTTGATATTGCTCAACAGTGTAAAACTTTCACTCACTCACTCAACATGATAATGCCACTGCTTGGAGAGTGTTGATGGAATCCTGGTTACATGGTAATGTAACAAGAAAGTCAGTCAGATATATGACATCTACATTTTACATATGTTGTTTGTATTGTGTTTTTATTCTGCATTCTTGTTTATTAATTGTTTTGCTACCTTTTGTGTTTTCAGTAATAAGATCTTATTTGTCATACATGTGCAATTTACATTTCTTATTTTTATTTTCAGATAATTTCTACCTATCTGCTTTAGAGAAAATAGATAAATTAATAGCCAGCAAATTAGAAGATATAGATAAGAAAATCAAATGGAAGCCAAGCTTTAAGGTAAGTTGAAGGCGATATTAAGTTTTGATGTTGAGAGGAGGTTGAGCAAGTAGGACCTGGATTGTATGCTACCTTCTGATTGGTTCCAGCCTCTTAGTGATGATAATATTTTTTTCCGTTTTAGGACCTGGAGCACAGATGTACTAGCACACTTAGCTTTGAAGAGTTACTTCCCTTAACCATACCATGATCTGCTGATTATGAGTTTAGTCCCAGATTAACCCCGATTCTGATTTTAATTTGTCAGCTCCACTGGGTTTCTACTTAGATGACTTTGTACCTTCCTCCCACATCCAGATGACACCACATGATATGACTGAAATACTGTTCAAAACTGGCAACTGTTTGATGTCAGCATTACTGTGTTTTATGTAAGGAATAAACGAGTGGGAGTTGATTTATTGAACAAAAAACGTTTATTGCTTATATGAGATTTCAACATTAAGTACAGCCTCTTTAAGGATGATGATAAAGTGAACAAGCTTTAAAAATATTTAAATAATGATTACTCCCTCAATAGAGATCCAACCTGGCAATGTCAGACATGTCCATTTTATACACCTGTGGGTATTTCCTGCATCTTCTCACAATCCTCACATTGATTACCTATACCTTTCCCCCCAATAATGATTGTCATGTCTCTCCCACTTTTGGATGTGATCGTTCTGCCATCGTGTTTAACTGCGTTGCCCAGCTACACTTATGGGGAACAACTTGCTAGACACCCCTCTCAAAATTATGTTGTCCAATAAACGATGTCATCAAGTTGCAAGTGCATGTTCGAATCTCCTGAAATGACGTCATGACAGACAAATGTTTATCGTGAATAAACCACACTTCATTCTTCATTGCGATTTATCGCATAGCTATCTTGTATCATCAAATTAGCCATGGTACACTATTATATTTAACTGATTATTATTCCTCAACAGTGTGTAATGTAGCAGTGTTTCTTTTTCAGACATCTCTGAAAATCAAGCCCCAACTGCGAGAGATTGATCGTCCCAATCTTAAGCAGCCATGTCAGGTAAGTGGATGTGTTGCTTGTAGACGTAATAAGATCAGTTAACTTCCTCACACATGCACTAGACCCGTGAAGATCCGGGGTAGAATTGGTCTTCAGCAACCCACGCTTGCCATAATAAAAGACGATGCTTGTCGTAAGAGGCAACTAATGGGATCGGGTGGTCAGGCTCACCGACTTGGTTGATGCATGTCAATCACTGGTCTGGTCCAGACTCGATTATTTACAAACCACTGTCATACAGCTGGATTATTGCTGAGTGCAGCGTTAAAGAACAAACAAACAAACAAACACATGTGCAGGGGTGGAAAATGTTTCTGATTAATGTAAATGTTGCTCAGTTTTCTTGTCCAGTGATTATTTGTGATTTTGAACATGAATTGAAAAACAGAAATTGTAAGGTAGGGACACTAGTTGATATGCCATCTACAATTAATTTTAACCGATGCCTGTAAGAGATAAACAGCACTGTATATATATTGTGTATATTTCCGAAATTCATTTTATTTGTAACCACAAGTCACAAGAATATAAGTGTTCATCATCATCAGACTATCTTTCATCTTACTTCAGACCTTGGTTCTGATTTCTCCCCCTATATGCTGAGATAGGCACATGAGACAAGTTGTTTATCAGAATGTCCATACAATGTGTATACAGTGTTACTACAATGACTCTTCACCCTTGTCACCCACAGGCTTGTGAGAATTCTAGTCCACCCACCATCAAAACAGTTCATTTCCTGGGTGCCCCGTACGACAGGTTTGACATGGATGACCTGCCGGACCCATCCGACACATGTACAGTGAGTACCTGCAGGACTTGTGGCTTTCCTTCCACATCAAGCTTATACCCCATGCTAGAATTGAGTCAGTGTTTAGTGATATTAAAACTCTGATCACTGACTTCCAGTTTCATAAATGGATACCCCCATTTTGAAGCATACTAGGATATAAAATGTATAACAACCCACATAAAGCTGTTTTGTCTTTAGAGCACCCCACTTTTTCGACCAAGAAAATGTATCTGCACTAGCAGTTGTGTTATGTACAGGTGATAGTTTAGTTTATGTTTATCAGAGCGCCTTTCAGCCACTCATTACTACCCTATCGTGGGGTTGCCAGGTGAAAGGCTGGGGCATCCTGTGAAGCACTTAATGGAGGAACTGGTGTTGTTTTGTTGCAGGAGTTCATGATAGGGAAAACTGCTGCTCAGTATGTGGGAGTGTATCACAGTCTGCACCACTTCAAATATAACCTGTATAAGAGATGCCTAGCAAAGGTGAGTGACTGGCTGCTGGGGAGGGTATGTTGATCAGGTTTTTTTTGTCTGTTGGTGAGGGTATGTTGGGGGGGGGGGGGGTATGTTGGGTAAGGGTCTTTTGGTCTGTTGGGGAGGGTCTTTTCAGGAGGGTATGTTGGGGAATGTCTGTTGGTTAGTCATCATTATAATTTATCAGGTTAAGAAATTGATAAATTTTTATTATTAATTTTGTTATATTTATATGTGCTACAGAGTTGCCATCTATCTTATGGTAGTAGTTGTTGCACAAGGAAAGGAAGTCGTTTTTAAGTTTAACTAATGTGGGACAAATGGACTGATGACCGTGTTGAACCCTGGGCATAATGATCATTTCTGTTTCTCATACATGAAGTCCATGAAGTTAGCAATTAGCTGACAGCTAATGTTATTTTTATTGAAGACCGCCCCCGTGGTCTTGTGGTAGAGCGTCTGCCCCGAGAGCGGAAGGTCCGGGGTTCGATCCCCGACCGCGTCATACCAAAAGACGTTAAAAGATGGTACTTGTTGTTACCCTGTCTGGCGCTCGGCATTAAGGGGCTAAAACAAGGACTGGTCGGCTCGGAGTCAGTATACTGTGTCTGAGTGGGGTATTCATGTTAAACTGCGGCATGGTATCTCAGTGGGCTAGCACTATAAATCGGCATCAGTCCGGACCAGTACAAGCAGCCACACAAACACACACACGTACATGCACGTCGCTATATAAGTGCAATAATCTTGGACGCGACGTTAAACCCAATTTCACCTCACCTCACCTTTTTATTGAAACAGTCCTTTCATTGAGGGATACTGGTTATGGTTATGCATACAAATTGGCCTATGATATCATGTATATTCAAGAACAGACTTCCATTACTGTTGATAAAATATCCTCAGTATCTGACACTATACAATCATAATGTATAGTCTGGAAGGTAATTTAAGGTACCGACGTTTACTACAATTTCTGAAAAACTATTGGACCTACTCCAGTCAAAGTTGGTATGAGATTATTAAACAGTCATACATAACTGGATATTACATTTAAAGACAATCGGTGCATGAATAAAAAATGTGTCTATTTAGCTATCACTATATTTCATCAACAACCAGACCTGTCCGTCACGGGTGGAAAGAGCATTCATTGAAACAGCCATCTGCATAATGCTACCCCTGCGTCACAGGGCCATATGATACAAATGAACCAATCAACTCAACTCGAAAGGTTGCACAGGAATCACGCACACACGAATACGGTGTTGGCGTTGGGCGTCTCAACATGCGTGATTCCTGTGCACCCTTTCGAGTTGAGTTGATTGGTTCAACTATGTCATATGGCCCTGTGATGCAGGGATAGCATTATGCAGACCTACCTTGACCTACTCCAGTCAAGGTTGGTATGACACAGTTGAACCAATCAACTCAACTCAAAAGGTTGCACGGGAATCACGCACACACGAATACGGTGTTAGCATTAGGCGTCTCAACGTGCGTGATTCCCGTGCACCCTTTCGAGTTGAGTTGATTGGTTCAACTGTGTCATACCAACCTTGACTGGAGTAGGTCCGATAGTTTTTCAGATATTGTAGTAAACGTCGGTACCTTAAATTACCTTCCAGACTATAGGTGTGGTGGTACAGTCCAAGGGGAGACAACTGCTGCTTGTAATTAAAGAACTGTTTCTTTGCAGGTAAAATTACTCCGAGACAGTACAAAGGGCATTGACAATGAAAAGTTGCTAGACCAGTGTCTTCACAACAGGGCATGGGTATTGAAAGTAAGTAGAGTCATAGTAACTAGTCTTAAGTTGGATTGTCGGATTGTTTGTTGTTTAATACCGCACTCAGCATGTTACAGCTATATGACGGGGGTTCGAAAATAATCAAGTCTGGACCAGACAATCTAGTGATTAATATCATGAGCATCGATCCACGCAATAGGGATACGATGACATGCATTAGCCAAGTCAGCGAGCCTGACCACCCGATCCCGTTAGCCGCCTCTTACGACAAGCATAGTCGCCTTTTACGGCAAGCATGGGTTGCTGAAGAACTATTCTACCCCAGATCTTCACAGGTCCATGACTTGGTTAATTGCATGTCATCCTATCCCAATTGCATAGATCGATGCTCATGATGTCACCACTGAATTTTCGGATCCGGACTTGATTATTTACAGATCGACATCATATACCAGAAATATTGTTTGCTATGGCGTTAAGTGTACTTAAGTGTCAACTTCAGTGTCCAGATCAGTTTTTTCCTACAGCTTTTTGAAAATCCCAAAAGAGATGTTTCATAGAAATTATGTACCTATGCAAAACTTCACACCAGGGTCCAGATCGGTTCATTTTCTATGACATTGCTTGTCAGCCAAAATATCCTAAAGGCTTTCTTACAAATTGATAATGATACTGAAGAATATCTTATCGAAAGTTAATAAAATCATGAAAATGTCGTAGTGCCATTTTTCTCCAGCAAAGACACCATGGTAACCAACAGTTCAATTCGGACACGCAGTTTATGTAAAATTACTGCATTTTGAATGGAAACAACTAGTCCCTCTAAGTTTCCATAAGTCTCGGACTAACGGACATGTCTTTGTCATCCCTGGAAATCCCTGCTTATCCATAGCAACTAATATTTCATCTTGCTCATCGGGGGCAGTCGGGTAGCCCAATGGTTAAAACGTTCACTTGTCACGCATAAGATCGGGTTCGATTCCAGACATGGGTACAATGTGTGAAGCCCATGTCTGGTGTCCCCAGCTGTGATATTGCTGGAATATTGCTAAAAGCGTCGTAAAACCATACTCACTCACTCACTCTTGCTCATCATATTATTTACCATTTCAGATATTTGAGGACTTAAAAAGAATGCTTGAGAAGGGATGAAGACTCTGTGTTGTCCCTGTACTACATCCTGCCTTAGACTGTATTGTCAGTGACTACTGCCAACGGTGATAATCCTCCTCTGTGTAGGCCACCAAGGACACCACTCATCGTCACCTGTACAGAAGCGTGTGGTCCTCCTCCGTCGCGGAGGGCACACCTTATCATCTCTGGTGTCATTGTTGTCCTCTCGTCTTCAGACTGTGCGCATTTGTTACTTGGTTCCTGTGGTGTGTGGACAGTTCATGAAGATGTTGACTGATTAGGTTAGCATGTGTCTCACTGTTGGGGCGGAGTATTCGGGCAGGTGGAACTGAAACCTGATCTTGGAGCAGAATGATAGGGCTTGGCCTGAATAACGGACCCTTTGACTCCTTTACTTTGTATCAACCTAACTGTGGAACTCTGATCTGACAAGTGCAGCTCTGACCTGATAGAGTGAGGTGTATTTAGCAGGTGCTGCTCATACCTGATGGATGGATCCCTGTCCTGGTGGAGGGTGGATTCCTGCCCTGGTGGGGGAACCCTGCCCTGGTGGAGGGTGGATCCCTGCTCTGATGGGTGGAACCTTGTCCTGGTGTAGGGTGGATTCCTGTCCTGATGTGGATTCCTGCCCTGATGGGGGAACCCTGTCCTAGTGGAGGGTGGATTCCTGCCCTGATGGGGAACCCTGTCCTTGTGGAGGGTGGATTCCTGCCCTGATGGGGGATCCCTGTCCTGGTGGAGGGTGGATTCCTGCCCTGATGGGGGATCCCTGTCCTGGTGGAGGGTGGATTCCTGCCCTGGTGGATGGATCCCTGTCCTGGTGTTGGGTGGATTCCTGCCCTGATGGGGAACCCTGTCCTGGTGTAGGGTGGATTCCTGCCCTGATGGGGAACCCTGTACTGGTGGAGGGTGGATTCCTGCCCTGATGGGAGAACCCTGTCCTGGTGTAGGGTGGATTCCTGCCCTGATGGGGGAACCCTGTACTGGTGGAGGGTGGCTCCCTGCCCTGATGGGGGAACCCTGTACTGGTGGAGGGTGGCTCCCTGCCCTGATGGGGGAACCCTGTCCTGGTGGAGGGTGGCTCCCTGCCCTGATGGGAGAACCCTGTCCTGGTGTAGGGTGGATTCCTGCCCTGATGGGGGAACCCTGTACTGGTGGAGGGTGGCTCCCTGCCCTGGTGGAGGGTGGATTCCTGCCCTGATGGATGGCTCCCTGTGCAGGTGGAGGGTGGATCCCCGCCCTGGTGGATGGTTCGATGCCCTAGTGGCTAGATCGAGTCCTGATGGATGGATCCATGCCCTAATGGATAGATCCCTGTCCTATTGGGTGGATCCAGTCATCTGATGGGTGATTCATGGCCTGAGGGGATGATCCATGACCTGATGGGTCGTTCCCAGACCTGAAGGGGGACCTCTTGCCTACTTGATTGAGCTCAATGTTGCCCAATGAGAGATCGCTGTCGTTACAAGTGGAGTGCAAATGGGTGGATGGTTGTTCCTCAGTGTAACTGTGAAGCTCAGCATCTGTTGGGCTAACGGAGACATGTCAGACTAATAGTGAGACTTGCCCTGTTCTTCAGGCGTAAGGTCAGTTATGGTGTCTTAGTTGTGTTCTGATACATGGCCAAGTTTATGTAAGGAGACAAAGTAAGACCGGAGATCTCTCTGTCTTAGTTATGTTCTGTTACATGGCCAAGTGTAAGGAGATAGAGTAAGGCCGGAGACCTCTCTTCTTTCTTTGACTTCAGCTGGATGTGTGGACAGTGTGAGGCCGACTGAATTACTGGGGATATTTATTGTTGAGTTTGGGGGATGCAATCGTGGTTTAAGGAGTATTTCATTGTTAGTATTTCATTTTGAAGGTTTTGGAAGTAGTTTGGGTTGATAGTAGTCAGTATTTTACACAATAATTATTTCAAGCACAAACTCTTCCTCTGTTGTTCATTGAAGTGGAAACATGAATGTGACTGGTTGTTTTCAAAATATACTACTCATCTTTTGATAGGGATAATCAGGTATGTCATATATTTAAATATACACTTGACATGAGAATCGGTTTTGAGTATCATGGCTAGATATAAAACATATACCTGTCAAACGTGGAGTAGTATATGTTCTTGTGAATCTAATCAAAGATGAATGCATAATTAAGATATTCATAATGACAATAATTGCCTGAATGTCCAGAATATTGAGAGATATGGATAATAGAAACTGCTAGACATGTTGCTGATTATTCATGTTGAACTATTTATGAAACACAACAGGGCTTGTGTGATACAAGATTTATACAATCGGCTATATCAAAGGCGTTCAAGTAACTTTCAATATCAAAATGTATGTATGATTATAATTGTGATTAAATTATATAGAGTGCATGGAAAATGTTATTAAAAATCTTTTTAATGTCTAAGTGCAAGGTGTAAATGTCTGGTTGCATTTAAGGCATGGTTAGAGTATTAAGAGTTGGAATAATTAAGGCTTAATTATTCTATTCCATATTCTATGAAAGTTTTAGTTTTTGAAATAAGTCTTGTTTACACCTGCGAATCTGGAGCTATTTGAACACCACTTTGAAAACATTAATTTTATAGAAAAGAAAGATCTGTTTTTGTCATGAAGTAGATGAAACTCACTTCTGAGGTCATTTGAGTGTGTGGGGGAGACACGGTGTGATAGAACTCCGAGTGGAAGTTTCAAGAGAAAGGCTCTATGTCTAGAGGGTCTAAAGATCATTGCTATCGTAACACCAACAGTATTGTGACTGATGTCAATATGTTGCACATATATAACCTAGACTTTGACTTATTTAGACTGTGTGAATATACTATACAAAAGCTTCATGTGATAAGATGTAACTGAAACAGATATCACTATAATGGCAGCAAATAAGCCTTCAAGTTTCATACTTTCCACATACTCCAGTGTCCGTACAGGAGACAGTTTCAGTTTGATTAGAGGAAGTGTAGGTGCATTTAGCTTTGTTATTTTGTTGTTTCTCCCTGTACGAGTGTATACCCTTTATGCTTGAGCTTGTGAGAGTACTTTTGAGAAAGGAAAGATTTCTGTGATCCATCTAGTCAGCAGCTAAAGCACATTGTCCTGAGCCACTCAGTATGAATTAGCCATGAATCTAATATTAACAGTGGAGCACGTGGCCTATATATATATTTGTTGTAGTGATGCAGTAGACATGAAAACACATGCACCAATATATCAGATTGAATAGAAAGAATATCCAGAGTAACCACCATCTATTTGAAGGCTACAATCGAGGAAAGATGAGTTGTGATAAGGGGAGATAACTTGTGTTCATTATCTGTTCAGAATCTGGGATTCTGTCAAATTGATGCTTTGTATTTTTATATTATTGAAATTCCAGTGTATATTCATGAAATATCAATCATATTTATTACTTTCTGATTGAGTAATAAGTGCATAATAGATGTGTGAAGTAAACCTAGACTTTAGTTTGTTGTAATTGAAAGATTATTACTCTGAATGCATTGTGAATAACTGCTATTTAATCTGTTTCTTTTCTCAATATTCCTTGTTATTGACTGCCAGTTGAGACATTATTTGCAAAATATTGACCATGTTTGGTTCTTTAAGCCATTGGCAGGACATTGTACAGCTTACAAATGGAGCTTAAAAAATTGACTAATTTGCTGACTCAACAAACCGATATACATATATATATATATATTAGTTTCACATGTAGTCGGATATATTTATAACATGTCAGGACTTGCATACTCTTGTACATGTATATTATAAAATAATCAAATAAATAAGCTATATTTCAATTGTTTAATAACTATTTTCTATGAAAAGTTATGAAACTGCATTGGATATCTAGGTGATGAAAATGTCTAGGTGTGTTTCACTGAAGTACTCTGGACCCCGTTCCTCAAAGCGATCTTAGCGCGGCGATGATCGTAAGCCTATGTTAAAGTATGGGACTTACGATCACCTTAGTGCTAAGATCGCTTGGAGGAAGGGGGCCCAGGTTTTAATATTGTCACCATGCAGCCTATCTTCCTTGAAGACGGATACAAAGCCTGTGTTTTCTTACATTGTTTTGTTTTGTGTGTATGGGGTTGTAAGCTGTACACTGTTGATTATGAAATGTTTTATTTTATAGAGATATTTTCTTGTTCTTAATGTAACATGTGGTGTATGACCTAGAAGGCGTGGTAAGTTAAGGCCGGGTTCGGTTGTTGTTGTTCGTAGCATAATCAATGTGTCTGTGTATTTAAGATAGAATAACAAATTGATTAGTGCTTGATACCACTCACATGAGAGTTCTTGACTCAGAAGAAAATGGATTCTGATATAAATCATTAATTTATTTTTGGGTGTCTTCTTTGTACGTGGGTTCAGGATTCATCTTTTCTCAATGGGTTTGCAATGAAGAGTTACTGACATTTTCATATGAGAACATCCTCTATATCTCTAGGGCTTGCAATTCAGCAGACCTACACTAAACCCTGGATCCTTCATGTGTTTCCAATGATCTCAAATTACCTCCCCTTGATTTCCTTTAGCAAATTTGATTTGCTGTGCTACTCATTGTAATGGACCAATCAGAATATGAGTTTCCAACCGGCCTCAATGTTGGTAGGCAAGATCAACAAGGTGGCCAGTTCCATTGATTACGATCGAGTTTATGAGAAATTTAACATTGAAATACTGACTCAAATATCTTTTTGATGGCAAGTCCTCGCTTACCCTTTTCCATTTTCCATATCTCAGATTGGTTGGTCAGTGAAATGGTTATGAAAACGAAGTGCGAGTAATTTGAGATTGCGAGAACCACGGGAATGAATCCAGGGGATAGTGTAGCCCTTGAGATGTTGAGGACGATCTGTTAAAGGTGTTGTACTTCGTATAAGCCATATTTGCAATGAAGTGACATGTCATTTGCTCATCACCACAGTTTGATAAACCTGGAAAGAAGCTGATTAATGTTTCTAAAGCTTGAATGACATTGAAACTTCTCCCATGTTGTAAGCTTGTTTCTTGATACCACATTTGACATTAGACAATCAAGTCAGCTGATTGTTTGAATACATTATGTAGCCTGTGAATCGGATGTGTTGGCTGCCATGTTATGTGGAATGATTAAAACCTGCAGTTCACAAATGTGTATCCCAACTCCTTTGAATGATAATTACTGACTTTAAACATACCCTATGCCCTCTAATAAGACCCTGGGTCATGGGTCTTGGTCAGTTTACATTTACAACCCAGCCCATATTAAGGGGGTGGGGGGCGCTTGTTCCACAAAGCCATCTTAGTGCTTAGAGACGATCATGAGTCCCATATGTTAACGTTGACTTACAAAAGTCTTAGCTGTAATATCACTTTGCGGGATGGGGCCTAGCACCTTATACTTTCCCATCTCTGTGATGATGAGGGGCAGTCGGGTAGCCTAGTGGTTCAAGTGTTCACTCATTTCTCCGAAGTGCTGGGTTCAATTCCCGCCATGGGTACAATGTGTGAAGCCAATTTCTGGTGTCCCCCTGCCGTGATATTGCTGGAATATTGCTAAAAGCGGCGTAAAATCAAACTCACTCACTCACAGTGATAAAGGATATTAATATTTAGATGTAATGGGGAGACATCATTAGCTGTACCTGACTAAGTCTTTAACACGCTGGATCTTAATAGTCAGGCTCTAAATAGATGATATACGGTATTTACTTTTTACATGTAAGTCTATTATTTTCCAAATTATAAATTTATCAATGTTAGTATTCTCAGTAACCTTTTTCTTATCTGAATACTATTTCTAACGTATATTTGAAACTTTTCTGTTTGCATGCATCTCCTGCTTCCGTTTCCAGGTTATTCAAGTGTCGACCGCTGCTGTCACTTCATGGACTTCTGTGTACATACGTTCCACCATGTCTGCCTCTGTGTATATGTATATTACGCCTGTACAATCTGCATCCAGTCATCACTGTAAATATCTCGTATATCCCAGCTGGTGCTCAACCAAACTGTCAAAGCATAAACATAACGGTTGTTCCTACAGGGTCGTGTAGACGACCAAGTGATACATAGGGTTCTGTAGAGCTCCAAGTGTGGGTGGTTCCTGGTCGAGCCGATTGGAGACAGACCTGGAGGGTGGGTGGTTCCTAGACAAGACTTAGCTCCCATGGAGATTGACCAGGAGGGAGGGTGGTTCCTAGACAAGACTTAGCCCCCATGGAGATTGACCAGGAGGGTGGGTGGTTCCTAGACAAGACCTAGCCCCCATGGAGATTGACCTGGAGGGTGGGTGGTTCCTGGACAAGACTGAGCCCCCATGGAGATTGACCTGGAAGGTGGGTGGTTCCTGGACAAGACTCAGCCCCCATGGAGATTGACCTGGAGGGCGGGTGGTTCCTAGACAAGACTTAGCCCCCATGGAGATTGACCAGGAGGGTGGGTGGTTCCTGGACAAGACTGAGCCCCCATGGAGATTGACCTGGAGGGCGGGTGGTTCCTAGACAAGACTTAGCCCCCATGGAGATTGACAAAGAGGGTGGGTGGTTCCCAGACAAAAGTTAGCCCCCATGGAGATTGACAAGAGGTGAATGGGTGGTTCCTGGATGAGACTTAGCCCCCATGGAGATGGACCAGGAGGGTTGGTGGTTCCTAGACAAGACCTTGCCCCCATGGTGATTGACAAGAAGGATGGATGGTTCCTAGACAAGATTTCAACCCCATGGTGATTGACAAGAAGGGTGGATGGTTCCTAGACAAGACTTCGACCCCATGAATATTCACCTGGAGGGTGGGTGGTTCCTAAACAAGACTAAGCCCCCATGGAGATTGACCAGGAGGGTGGGTGGTTCCTAGACAAGATTTCAACCCCATGGAGATGGACCAGCAGGGTGGGTGGTTCCTGGACAAGATTTCGACCCCATGGAGATTGACCAGGAGGGTTGGTGGTTCCTGGACAAGATTTCGACCCCATGGAGATTGACCAGGAGGGTGGGTGGTTCCTGGACAAGACTGAGCCCCCATGGAGATTGACCGTGAGGGGGGGGTGGTTCCTAGACAAGACTTAGACCCCATAGAGATTGAGTGGGTGGATGGGTTGACCTATGGGTGGTTTCTGGACGAGAGTGAACACTCCAGGGGGACAGACCGGACAGTGGGTGGGTCCTGGTCTGGAGTGGACATCCTACTTCAAGGTTGATGGTCAGACAACTTCTGAATGACAAGATCCTGGTTAAATCTAGAAACATATTTGCAGTTAATGTTATAAAATAGCAAACATGGAACTGACTTGTTTCCTTTTGAAAAAAACCAAACATTTGAAGGTTGTTTTAAGTTATAACATGTGCAGGCCAGGGTCTGTTTAGGCCCAGGAGTAATGCTTTGTCAAGGAATTACAGTAAGTTATACAAATTCATCAATAGGGATGTTATGAAATAGTGTTGTATGTGATAACAGAGGGATATAATGTAGTGTTGTTGGATAACAGTTTGGTGTAATATAGTGTTGTATTTGAAGAACAGAAGTAAATTACATTATACCATGATGGTAATGAACATGGGCTGTGCTGTGCATGCACCTTCAATGTCTACTGAAAAAGGAACCAAAGTTTATGCGAATTATCTGAAAACCCCAACAATCTCTAATACTACATGGACCACAACCTTGATACTACTCAACTTTTTCTAAGGACCAAAATAGTCATCTTTAGTCAAAGGTGTGGTTCTTAGCAAATGTTGAGTGGTATAATTAGAAAGGAAACAACAAAAATATCAAAATGGTTACACCTGCAGTAGGAATGGGTAGATTCAAAAGCCTTTTGTTGGTATGTTAGTGCTTGTAAAGTTAATTGTACAGTCTGACGCCCGAGTCTAGTTTAATTGTGTTTGGTCTACTAAACTCTGCTGGTTAAAGTCCATACAGGGGCAAAGGTAGTCAAGTCGTCTAAGGCGCCGCGATTCGCTGTGCAGAGTTGCGTCCCTTGGGCACGCCAGAAACCTATGATTGTGGGTTCGAATCCCAGTTTGCCCCGAATATGTTTCTAGGTTTGTCAGCACCATACCGTGCTCGTAGGTTTCACCGAAGTGGTAAACGTCTGAGACCTGCATCACTTCGGGCTTTCCTCCCACATTAAGCTGACATGCCGTGATATAACTGGAATACTGTTAAAAGCGGCGTTAAACCCAACTCACTCACCATAGTCCATACAATGACACTGAAAATGATGCAAAGAGTCATGTTTAGGCAAATAGCATAAAGGTCTTGGTACAAACTGATGGCATCGTCCAGTGTTCAGACACTAGATTTATGGCCAGTAAGGCTAAAAATAAATGTGTTTCCTAATTCAACCCATCCAAAAATAAGATTGGTAGGTCGTTATTTATTTAAAAATACTTAAATGGTTTCTCTGTGATGAAGAGCAATTTAACTCTTGAGGCATTCATTTCGGACAATACCGATTATGGCTGTGATGCAAGTCTAGAAAAGTGAACAAGAGGTGTGGAGGGACAGGAGGGAAAATGGAAGCCTTGTGTTTGTGGGGGTTGGGTGCTGAGTACTTATGTCTGCATGCCTTGTTCAGAGGGACATGTTCAGGACATCCATGATGACAATATCTTGTATAGTATGAGGGAGACGAATTTCGTCGCAACCGGAATGGTTATATCGATGGGCAGAAACTTTTCAATCCAGACATTGATTGTCTCTAAGTATTTGTTGTATGTTGGGGTAAATTGCTACCCCTTTGTTACGGAGTTTGTGAGAGTGGAGCTAAGGTTCATGTTGTACAAAACTCACTCACATGTTGTAGAAAGACGTACCCTTTGTTATGTAATTATTACCATTTTACATCAGTTTTAGTTCTAATCAAAACCTGTACAGTGAAATGTACTTCTGTCATGTAGAAGTCGTCTACAACCATTGTGGATGGTGGCATATGTTGGCCGACCAGAGCAGCGAATGAGTGATTAGCCTGTCTTTTACTCCTGAATAAATGCATTTATGCTGTACCCTGCTCGTGTTTGTTTGTTTGTTGTTGATCACTACACTCAGCAATATTCCAGCTATGTGATCACAGTCTGTAAATAATTGAGTCTGAACCAGACAGTCCAGTGATTGACATCATGAGCGTAGATCTACGTAATTTGGATACGAAGACGTATCAACCAAGTCCACTAGCCTGACCACCCGATCCTGTTAATCGCCTTTTCTGGCAAGCATGGGTTGCTGAAGTCCTATTCTACACCGGATCTCCTCGGGTCTCGGACTCGGCGACTGACTCATATCCAGATAACATCAGTCACTGCATTGTCTGGTCCAGAGCATTGCTGAGTGTCCTGTTTAACAAAAAGCTAGGTTATTTGTACTCAAAGGGAGACTGGCACTGTCATTCACTAAGGAGAATTGCATTCCATTGTCTCACCAGGATCCGAATCTTGGTTTGAATCCATGATGAGCCCAGCATATGGCCCTTGGTGTGTCAACACCATGATTTGTGTTTCACCCAAAAGGTAAACATCCGCATCACATGAAATTGAAATTCGGTGTAAAACTGGAACTGTCCCGCCAAACACTGCTGTGATCACTCAATGCATAAGTGAGATACCACTCACAGCAAGGATAACAAACTCACTCAACACTGCCGAATCAAATTGGTTTTCTGAACTAGAGCATACTTGGGTAAGCAAATCGTTGGGAACACCCGTTCTTCATCATGTGTTGCCTTTAGTATTTTGGGGAAGATCAGATTGCTTTTGTGGCTTTTCCCTACAGTTCAGAAACTGATTCAAATTATTTAGGCCCATGAAGATCCGGGGATAGAATAGGTCTTCAGCAACCCATGACTGCCGTAAAGGGCGACTAACGGGATCGGGTGGTCAGGCTCTCGGACTTGGTTGATGCATGTCAATCCCCATAGCCTAGTCGTTAAAGCGTTCGCTCAGTACTCCAAAGGCTCGAGTTCTATTGCCCACATGGGTAAAATGTGTGAAGTCGATTTCTGGTGTCCCACTCAGTGATATTGCTGCAATATAGCTAAACACAGTGTAAAACCATACTCACTCATTCACTCATCAAGGTCTATAGAAGCTTTGTGAGTGAGTTGGGTTTAACTCCGCTTTTAACAGTATTCAAGTTATATCGCGGCGTGTCAGTTTAATATGGGAGGAAAGCCCAAAGTGATGCAGGTCTCAGACGTTTACCACTTTGGTGAAACCCAGGAACGCGGGTTTGGTGCTGACAAACTGAAAAACATAATCGGGGCGACCTGGGATTCGAACCCACAATCATAGGTTTGAGTGCCCAAGGGACGCAACTCTGCACAGCGAACGGCAACGCCTCAGACGACTGGGCCACCCGTGCCAAGAAGCTTGCTTTATTGAATTGTCTTTGAATGACGATCTACAAAGACTAGGCAAGGTTGGGTATACTTGCCTCGTGGTTAAAAAGGTCAATAGGCCCATGTAAGATTCCCTTCGTGGCTACACTATATATGAAGACCTTTCTTGGTGCCACCCAGTGATATTAATGACATACATATCTTTATACCCTTCATGCCAAATGACAAAGGCTGACTTTGATTTAACGAACCTGTCTGTTCTGGGACAATTGCCAGGGCCCCGTTCCACAAAGCTATCTTAGCGCTAAGTCGGTTGTAACTCCCATTCTTTAACACTGACTTACGACAGTCGTAGAACTAAGATCGCTTTGTGGAACGGGTCCCTTGTTGAGGTGGGTGCCAGTTTGACGTGGGTGCCAACGCATCCTATTGTTGGTTAACATGAAAGATCTGCAAAAAGATCTGTCTCCCACATTAAGTTAACACGCCATGGTATGTTCAGAATTCACCCACTCCCAAAAACATATTGTCTATAACCGACATTCCATTTTGATTCAGACGTGTATTTTGCCATTTATAACAACTAATTCGACCGCAGAAAATCTTTGATCATATTTGCGTTAGTCCTTAATTTGGCTTTGCTTGCCGGTTTGTTTTTGGGTCAGAGGACGATGCTCCCCGCAACATCTAACCACGTGCACGTGGTGCATGTGATTTTCGGAAGTATGCAGCATATGTCAACAAGGGTATGAAACTCCCAAAAATTTCAGCCAGACCACAGGACTGGCTAGCTGAAATACTTGCCAGCCCTGACCAAAACCTGCCTGCCCACTATAATCATGTTTCTCAGGATAAGCTAACGGGGTTTCTTTTTGGTTACATTTTATCATTCATCTTTACATGTGAATTATTGATTATCATCGGGAAATATTTAGAATATTGTCACATATGAAATATAACCCGACCGTCGGGCAGGGGGATTTGAAAATCTGGCAGCCCGAATTGAAATCAACCCGTCTCGGACGGTCGGGCAGGCAGGTATTTCGAACACTGTGTCAACACATTTCACCAATAACCGACATGGAATTATCTTACCTTCCCGATGCAAGGCCGGCTTCTTGCTTCTGACAGTTGAAGAACGCGCCTTTGTTGCGGCATTTGCATACTCTATTTTCATTGGTCACATTGGTTTAATGTATGGGTGAGCAAAGGGGACAACGCCAGACGCAGCGAGGTAATGTCTTCATGGCGCGCGCGCGTGCGTGCGTGCGGGCGTGTGTTTGTTTCTTTTTGTTGTAAACTGTAAATTCATTATTTGGATTATTCATTCAATCAAGACTCTTCGTTTCGCAAAGCACCATTTTCGTTAACTTGACCAGCGTGTATTCTTTCCCTTGCAAGAGGTCCGTAGACTTCAAGAATATTTTTTGTTGACGTTGATTTTGTATATAATCATATCCAAATGTATTATCAAGAACTTTTTAAAACTCAAAAATGTTTTGTTACCTTCGTCGTTACTTTTTTTCTGTCCTATGCTGAGTTCAGCAATATTCCAGCCTACAACGAAAATTGGACCCAATCGTAGTACCTAATTCAGGGCAAGACTCAAGTGATACACATTGTTGTAAGAATTATACTTGGAGAAAGGTTTTTCTATATTTTCAGAAAGCCTTTACTTCGTACGATGATTTCTTGACAAAATGAACGCCCCAGATGCCGTTCTTCTGTTTTCTCGATTATTTTTGTATAGTGCATCCTGTATTATGCACTGTATTCTATCTTCATTCCATCTTGATCTATTGCTTCGTTTCAAGCCCGATTCAAATGTATGAAGTATGAATTGTAAGTTTCGAATGAAATTGTTCTAAGTTAGTTAAAAGAATGGATGTTTATATGTTAAAATATACGCTGTACACTCGAGGATATGTTGAGGGTAGATTTGAAACAGACACCGCTTGGA